GGGGGGGGGGGGGGGAGGTGTCTTGACGAGTCTCAAATACTGTTCGTCCTGGCATCACGCAAGTTCACGTTCTTTTGCACGGTAGAAAGGAGAAGAGAAATTGCCTGAGTTGTCAGACGAAATGAATCTATAGCTAGAACTTATCCGAAGAGTCTTATCAGAAGATTAACAGGAGGTTGCCTGACAATTTCAGGGTCCATTTGTCGCTGCTTTCGCATCCAGCAATCTGGGCGACGTGTCGCCAAATACCCGAGGACCGAAATGCGAATTCTCTGGCAAGGATTGTTCAGCCCAGTACACGTGCCCCGGGAAACACGAGATGTGCTTCGCCTCTGGCCCCGGGAGGAACATGTTTGAGAGCACAAGTATAATTGCCCGGAAACTCTTCCAGGAGTCAATGGTGAGTAATGGACAGCGTTAACGAGAGCTTCGGAAAGTTTCTGGCGGCGGGACGATGGGAAGTTAAGGAAGAATGAGAAATTGAGATGCTGCTTCTTACTCCTCCGTTTACCCGTGCTGCCCTCTTGCGCTTTCTCACGGAACTCTATATGTGCAGGTGCAAACAAAAGTCAGGTTCAAACTTCAAGATATGGTACAATCACAATGATACCCGAGCGACGCTGCAGCCTAGCTTGCTCGTGCCTCTACTAGGCTGCAACGTCCCTTAAGTTGTCTCTGCTCCGAATTGGGAAGTCAGGCACTGATCGGCTTAGCCTTCTCCCCTCTTTTAGAGAACCTGGGGCCGAAGTTCTTGAGAAATACAAATTCCTTTCCTTAACGAGGGTAGGTTTATTCGATTGGTAGCAAAGGTATGTACATAGTCAGTGGGTCAAGACGACGTCGTCATGGCGGCTCAATAGTGCTTGTCGTATCCGTATCCGTAGCCGTGTTCGGGACTGGCAAGAACCGGCGTAACGTATTTGACAGCTGGAAGGGGCGCTGGATGAACGGCGTGGCCAATCTTCTTGACCACCGCGTTGAATCCATTGTGGTCGTCGGCCGTGTAATCGACGACGCGCACGGTGCCGTCGGGCTCGTTCAGGCTGTAGGAACCCTTGACGACGTCTCCGTCGCGGACCTCGTGTTGACTCTTGACGTCACCCGTGTGAGGATCGTGGACGCCATAGTCAAAGGCGTATTTAGGGTAGGCCTAAACCCAGGAATGGTCTTTGATTAAACAACGGTTAAGGAGCATCGATTGATATTTTAAATCCTACACGCAACAGGTGACTGGGCGACGCGTTATACGTCTGGGAATCAGAACTAACGAAATTAATTGACTAATAAAGAAAAATAACAGAATCTTCGGTGAATCACGTTAAATCGAGTTAACGTCGAACAGATTGGTCTCGCTTAAAGAATCCTTGGCTCTATCTACGTGGTATCGCAGGGAAAACCGACTCTGCGTTCTACGGGCCTCTCTTCGAGACGGGCCTGCAGCCAGAGACGGAAAGACGGAAAATAAAAACTCACGTAATGGTCGTGGGAGTCGTCGTGGCCATATCCATGTCCGTATCCTCCGTAACCATATCCAACTTTAGCAACGGGAACGACGGCGGGTCCGACAAGACCTGCATGGGAAACTGCATGTCCCGCGCCATATCCTGCGTATCCTGCGTATCCTGCGTATCCTGCAACTCCTGGATATCCTGCGTAACCATCAGCCAGAGCACCGTAACCACCGTGTCCGTATCCATCGTATCCCAATAGGACGGCGTCGCAGGCCGCGGCCATGACGATCAGAGCTACCACCTGTAAAGATCAAAAGAAATATTAGAGCCAAATTTTTCTGTCGTTTCGTTTGTCGCAGGAAGTCTTTCCGTGGTATTATCATGCAAGTGTTACACGTCGTCTGAGACCGATAAGTGCCAACCCCAAGGATTGAACTGGAATTCTCAAAGAGCGTTTAGGCGATTCACGAATTTGGAGTCGAATCGAATTACAGAATGCAATCGGACATGCAAATACGATTCCCGAGTAAATAAACAAAGTGCGCGATAACATCGCGATCTCTGAGGAGAATCGCAAAAGGGAAACGCCTCCCTCTCCCTCCGTTTGGGAGGGCCCATCTATTCGCGCAGTTTCAGCCTTACGAGGAACCTCTGGATTCGGTCACTGCCGGTCTACTGTCTGTCTGTCTGTCTGTCTGTCTGCCAGACACGGAACGACTTATATGGCTAATGCTATTGTGCCTGCCTTGAACATTTTCGTAGTGCGTTTCGGATGCGGAACAATGTGAACTAGTACTGACAACGATCGGTGCTCTGGCTTTTATAGGGACTAAACGCGCTGCGTGCGGGGCCGGACAAATGGCTTCTCTTCGGTTGTGTAATTCAAGGTCTGGCTAGGCTCACTTTTTTTGCTCTGAAAAGTTGCCTTACCGAATGTCCGTACGAACGGCCAGCGTCCGCCAATGAAGGACAAACGGACGCGCGGCGAAAAAGTGGCGTGACCGTAGGAAAGTAATCGAGTAAAGAATGCGAGCACACTTTTGCCTATTCGCCTGGTTGCCTGGTTGCCTGGTTGCCCAGTTGTCGTGAGCCGCGCGGCGACTCTTCTTTGTCCCTGTCGGCTGTTGTCCTGTTCTCGGGCAGAAAACTGATCAGGGTGTAACCAGTCACGTTTTATCAGGGATGCAATTCCAGGTGATTAAGATTACGAGGCAGGACGGTTCCTTCTGATCTCCGGCACCGAAACCTTTTTTGCTTGACTTCGCGTTGTTGCTAACTCCAATGTCAAATTCTTTTGCTAGGCTCTCGTAAACGTGAAGCGAGTGCTTGTTCTCTCACGTGTGTATGTTAATATTCTCTTTTTTATAATTTGGTAACTTTCCCCACGTGCTGGGAAACTACTTTTAAGTGTAGGTTATACGTGCACTGACGTGTGCTCACGACGTTGTTTCTCAAAATTGCACAAGACACGCCCAGTGTTTCGCATGAAATCTGACAAAAGAATGCTCGAACTGATCGCCATTTGCGTCATTGTCCCATTGTCCTATTGTCCGATTGTCCCATTGTACTTTGGACTTCTTTCTCGCTATTTTAATAACATCGATCGTTCTACCGGTAATCGATAGGTCATTTATTCCGCGGGCGGCGCGTCCGCACTAAAGTCCCGGAAGAAGCAGCGAGACGCATGTGGAGATTAGATCAGAAAATTACAGCGTTTCCAGCTTTCTATTGCGCTAGGTTATTGGAATCGTCCGATGGAGATTCGAGTAAATAGGCAAAAGGATAAAAAATGTACAGAGCCAATGTATGTCAAGTAGACGCAGGATCGTAGAAATATGTTCGAACTACCTTGAATTACGTGTTTCCTATAAAAAATAACTATCGGCTGATGTATAATCCTATCGGAACCTCTTAAAGGATTTACAAAGTTTTTTTATACTGACCAAGACTTTCTTGTTCATTTTTGCCTGTAAGATATTATTTCCTTCTTTTTTTTTTAAAGCTCTTTAGACTCAAGGACCTACGTTCATTATAAGATTATATCGTTCGCATTAACGTATCGCGTTCGAGGTGGCCTTCCGACTCTCGCAGTTCTCTCCTGGATTAAATATATTTTTCTTCTTCTCAATTAGGCACGATTCCCGTCGATTCCGTTTATCCAGGCACGAGCACTCGCATTCACAGTTCCAGCTGATTAGGCATAGACCCGATTTCAGTTCTCGGGCACAGCCTGCCGTACTTACGCTATACCTATAGAGTCCTGAAATTCTATTTAATTGTTAATCAGAGCCCCCACGAGACTCGCAGTCTCGCACATGACGACTGTCACGCCAACACGTGCTGTTATGCAAGGATCCAAGGAACACAAGAGAAGTAGGAGGTAAGAGTGAAATTGCAATCGGGGCCTGTTGCTCCCTCATTATTACACGTATCTTCGTCGAGGCGGCCGACAGGCGTTTCGCTAAGGCGCATGCGCCAATGCTACCGCGCAATCCGCACGCACGGAGATCCAGCCGAGCGCGCGTGCATCTTTCGTCTCGTTCGGCCACTTCGGTCCAGCTGTTCCTTTTCCTCAGGAACCTTTTCTCTTTCTTCTTCCTGCCGATCGTCCGTTGCTAACGTGTCCCTTGGACATAGGTCGACTGTAAAGACGTCACGCTACGTAGGTACCTGTCACCGGTACCTACTATGTGAAGCTAGAGTTTACAGGTTCTGCAATGTCCGACCTTCGTTGGCAACGTTTTTCTTGATCGCCATGTATTCTATGCAAGTGCTTGGACATTTTTGCTTATTTCGTAAGGACGAAACCATCTATTTATCAGGGAGAGAGAGAGAGAGAGAGAGAGAGAGAGAGAGAGAGAGATCTCCAACGAAAGTAGAAAATTTGAATCACGTTCAGTTACATGACTACTGTTCTCTTTTTTGACTTTATAAAAAATCTATAAAAATCTATAAAAATATATATAAAATAATAATAATCTATAAAAATCTATCGAGGCTTCGTCTTAATTTTTTCGAAAAAATGTTATATTTAAAGAAGAAAACACAAAGTAGAATTACGCTCAAGGCATAAATACTTTAAACATAATTTCTAAGAAAAATTAGCTCACAGCAACTTTTTATTTGAAACGAATGAAATAAAAATATTTCATGATACAGTAATGAGGGAAGAATAAATATTTAATTATAAATAATGAAAATAAAGCGTTGCGTCCAAGTATATAAATAAGTCCATGCGCAAACTGTCGGTGACCACGATTTGAGAAACGAGACGTGACTTCCAAGTCCCTCAGGGTTTCTCGTATCCGTATCCGTGATCGTATTGCGCGGGGACGGCGACGTATTTGACAGCTGGAACCGGAGCAGGATGAACGGCGTGGCCAATCCTCTTGACCACCGCGTTGAATCCATTGTGGTCGTCGGCCGTGTAATCGACGACGCGCACGGTGCCGTCGGGCTCGTTCAGGCTGTAGGAACCCTTGACGACGTCTCCGTCGCGGATTTCTTCCTGACTCTTAACGTCACCCGTGTGAGGATCGTGGACGCCATAGTTGTAGGCATATTGAGGATACGCCTGGAACACAGCTCTGACGTCATTTACCTGGCTAGTACTGGATCTTAAGTTCACTTTGGCAAGAGATCGTTATCGGTATAGCCTTTGCTATCGTATATCGATTTGAAAACAGATTAAATCGATACGTACGTAATAGTCCTGAGATCGATCGTATCCATAACCGTAGGGATTCCCGTAGGCACCCAGGTAGCCAGCCTGGGCAACGGGGGCTGCGATGGCAACAGGTCCGGCAACGGATACGTGAGAATTCGCATGGGCTGGCTCATAGCCGTAAGCGCCGTAAGCGCCGTAAGGGCCGTAAGGTCCCGGGCCGACCTCGTAAGCGCCATTGTAGCCGACGAGGATGGCGTCGGAGACGGCAGCAACCGCGGCAAGGAGGACTAGGAACTGAAAGATCAAGAGCAGTCCGGGTTACGCTCGACGCGACAACGAATTTCATGGGTGTCGTTGCTAAGGGCGATCGGGTCTTCGAATAGTCGATCCTGACTATCAAATGCGGGAGTCGAAGAGTTTCAGCAGCTGAGAATCATCGGTGTTCAGGTAGAAATTACTGAAGATGCCGTAATCGGTGCACTAAGAAAGAGTCCGATGATGACGAAGAAGAGTTTGAAACTTTAGGATATTACGATCCGCAATATAGAGCTGATTATTCGGCGAGCGAAAGAATCTAGTAAAAGGGAGCGCTCCGTGGGTAACTGGATGCCGGAAGTGACGGAGAACGAACGGGGCCCACGGGCGCCTCGGTCCGAAGTGTTGGCCCCTACCTTCGACATGTTGCTAAGCTTCGACACAGCAGATTTACTGATAATTCGTAGGAGCGACCTGGACAACTTATATAGCGCCAAATGGTCACAGTACGCTGCTTCCTGCTGAGCAACACCGAAGGTTGCGTTTATGTTTTTCAAGCGTAAAAACTTGCCGTAATTCGACAACGACTCTGCAGAAGGACTGCACTACATTTCACAATGAGCCCGGCAATTGAAAAGCTCTGTGCATCCCTAGTGGGAGACGAGTCGAAGAAGCTCATGCGGCAATAGCGAATACAGTGGACTGAGATCGGAGGGACAATAGGTGACGAAAGTTTAGATACGTGATAAATGCAATGTCGCGTCTACGATTTCCTGACGAGGAGGAAGACGGCTGACAGTCGGTGCGCGTACGGTAGGGCAATGGCAACCTCTTTGCCCTGCAATTCCTTCCCGGGTCTCGTTCTCAACTGCTCGACGCGATAACAATTCGTAGGAAGGATTCTTCGAGTTAATTAACGAAGCTCGTTAATCCAGAATTAACGAGCAAGAAAGTTTGCTCGGAAAATACTTGGACTTGTTAAACGTTAAATACTTGAGCGCATCTCTCGGATGCTGGAGCCTGGAGTGCGAGGATCCATTGTGCGTGGACGCAGAGAACATGCAAAGAGGGGGAACTACGTTTCAAGTGTCCCGGATGGCCTTAATGCGCTTTTGCAACGACGCGCTGATGTCCCGTAGAAGCGAAACTCATTAATCCCGAACTCTCCTGGTCTATTCTGAAAATGTCCACGTAACAGCCTAGCTACGTTCGGCAGTCACGCACCTGACCCGGGTCGGGCGAAAGTCTCCAAGGTTTTCTGAGCACTGAGTCTCCTTCGCGTGGTGCGGTCACCCTAGAAAACTCTTATCCGGCCGAGGAGCGCGTCGTCGTACATTTGCCGACTCGACTTTACACGTTATCGGACTATTCGACATGAATTAGGAGCTCCGAGTAGATTGGTAACTTTAATACGGTTAATCGTCGGAAGGCGAGGGGAAAATATATTCAGTTGAAAAATCGAAAAGAAAGTTTTTATTTAACGACCTTAAATACTTAATACATCAAAGAACACATTTGATTGTCATGAAGTTTCTAGAAGCATCTAGTAATGGTTGTCGTAGCCGTAATAGGGGGACGCAGGTACAACGTATTTCGTAGGCGCAATCGCAGCAGCCGCCGGATGGGCGGCTGGTCCAACCTTCTTGACGACGGCGTTGAACCCGTTGTGGTCGTCGGCTGTGTACTCGACGATGCGGACGCTCCCGTCAGGCTCGTTCACGCTGTAGGACCCGTGGACGACGTCGCCGTCGCGGATTTCGTGTTGCGTCTTTACGTCGCCGGTGTGCGGGTCGTGCACGCCATAATTGAAGGTGTACTTCGGATGCGCCTGTCGCAAAAGTGTCAGCCCTTTTTTTTAGACGGAATATCAAGGTGCACAATTTTTGTTTATTCCTAAATAACTCTGTCGAGTATTGACGCTCTGCCACTTGACCGTAGCACTTACGTAGTAATCGTGCTCGTCTTCGTAGTCCTCGGGCCCGTGCCGCCCCTGCCGCCCCTGCCGCCCGTGCCCATAGCCGTGCAAGGAGGCGCGGACGGCCGGCAGGGGCGCAGCAGAGACAGCGTGCAGGGGAAGGTCGACCGTGGGCAGCGCGGCTGCGTGGCCCTCGTAATCGCCGTATCCACTGGTCACGTATCCGTCGAGGCTCGCGTAGCCCGCGTAAGGCTGCTGCCCCCCGTTGTAGCCGCTGATGACGACTGCGCTGCATCGCGCGATCATCGCGCACACCAGACTGGCTATCTGGAATTCCTGACAGACGCAAAAGCTTAGCACGATATCACCTTCGGCGACGCGATCGCTCCGACGGGCGTTTCGCCAGGGCTGATTCATCCGAGTTTTCCTTTCGAGCGGGATTTGCAAAATACGTGGGAAATCCCCGATGATGAATTCTGCCCGCGGTGCATCGAAACCGAGCCTAAAGGCGGGATCGCATCGCGACTTTAAATATGCCCACTCGAAGGAGAACGCGGAAGACGCCCCTGAGACGTTCGACGGGCCACCCCGAGTTCGACGTCACGTCAAGCACGTGCGTGGCAACGCCGTTAGAGTCGCCTCGTACCTTCGACATGATGAGTTTCCCGTCTACCCGACTGCGCTGCTGTGTTTCCGCCGGAGAGCACGAGATCACTGATAGCATCATCCCCGCTCGTCGGGCTCTTATATGCATCTCCCACTCGCAGTGACGGCCGCTCAGCCCGTGTGTGTCGATCCGGATGTCCCCAGCTCACCTCCGCATGGTGTGCTGCTCCACTCGGGCCCAAGGTCCTCGGCGGTGCCATTTTTTTCGCATTTCAAAACCATCGACGCGCCCATCCTTTCTCGGGATTCAAAAGGATCCAAGGGGGACGCCGGCGCTGTGCTCGTTCTTCTAGAATCGGCCTATGGACGATTCTAGGACGTCGCAGTAGGTTGCGCCTCGCATATACACACGGATAGACGTGGATTCTGTGCAGCTGCACTTCGTTATAATCAGTACAGGATGACTCTTCATTGCAGCCATTTCCTCGAGCACCGATTCTCTTGCCTCCCTTTTCCCATCGCGGTTTCACGGGCATCAGGTTCAACTCGCCATCTAACGTCTTCCCGACGTTCACCAAATTCTCTTCCATGGAGCAACGTTGCCCAAGAACGTGGCGAATCGCTCGAGTGATCGATTGCTTCGCTGGACCAAAGATTTGTCTCTCTTTACAGATTTCTTTAAACTCGCCTGCCGTCGCCGACTTGAGAGCGCAGCTTTCCTTTGCCTTTCCGCGGCTTCGACACGGACGCGCTACGATTCATAGGCAGCGTCCCGGCCGAACGACATGAATACCTAAAACGATTTGGCTCGTTAACATTTCTTCGCTGCGATTAGCATCTCTGACACGCGAGGAAACCTTTTTATCTTCGGGCCTGACTGACTCTCCTGCGAGAGCCGATCGCTCTGTAAAACGCGCACGATCCGTCCGGCCGCAACGTTCGATCACCCTTTGACCAGTCTCTTCGAGTTCACGCTTCACTCGAGACGAAATTTCGGCTTTCTGGGTAATATTCTGCTATATTAATTCTACTATTCGAAATTTGATAGGAAATTGGTAGTAGGAAAAGATGAAATGCAGCTGCAGTAGAAACAGTAGAATCAAGTGAGAGGGGGGGGTGGCGTCGAAATTGAAGTAATCCCCGAGTGGCGTAATAAGACATATGGCGCGCATAGATTTCCTTAATAGGCCATTGTGGAACGTTTCATTTTTTAAGCCTTTCTACACCTCGCCTCGTTACACCGATCTCATTGTATTCTCAGCTAATTAGGCCAAAGCGAGCCTCGCGGAGTCATTTTAAATATCTCTCTGGCACGACCTGTTACTCCATGCTGCCGTAATTAAATAAAACACATGTATATACGTAACGCGTAATAAGAGAACTCATCAACGATACTCAACGTCCACGTTACGAAATTAACGAAATCCGTTTATTCGATTTGGTCTCCGAGTCCCAACCGGCGATCGACGTGCTCCGACGTGCTCTGCGTCAGGTCTGAACCTGCTGCTCTCGGGGTTTCAGTCGAGTTCAAGGATCGCGTCGACAGCGACGCGACCTCCTGGTTCTCGTCGTCCCGAATGGCGGCGGCGCTTCTCAGGTGTCTCTTGCGAGCCGTCGGATATTCCAGCGAGACGCCACACAAAGGGTTCATTGTCGATCGAGAAGGACAGAAGAGGCGTGTTCCGACTCCCACGCTGGCACAGCCATTTCCCGCTTTTCGCTTCTCCCATTCGCATTTACCTTCTTCCTTTATTCTCTCCGTTCTTCCTACACCTGGGCCTAATTCGTTTTCACCTGAAATCCCCGTAGCGAGTTCCGTCCTCCTCCGCTTGTGCTCTGTGTGTCCTGACTCCTTCGACGACACCTCATTCTTCGACTGTGACCCGACTGTGAGTTGCGCAACGTCCACGTGTCGCCTGGAGCTCCTGTTTCAATGGATCCTGTGAACACGGTTAACAGTCGAGTTGTTGACTGTTCTCTGGATAAATATGTGCCCGATCCTTCCCTCTTACGTTTTACCCTTTAATTTTTGTGGAGCCTTGGAGCCTTGGAGCCATGCTCCCACATTCTCCCAGATTTAGCCACATTAATCCAGATAAGGGATACTACGTTCCGGCCATCCAGAGCCTCGGCCTGTTCGGTACGATCAGTGATTGTTTTGAAAATTCAAAAGATTAAAACCCGCCTTGCAGATGCGACCAGCTTCCTCTGGGCCATTTTCTCCCTGCACCTGCATTTCTCCCTCTCGGAACTCACCTTTTTTTCTTAGCTATTCGATTTACCGGAATTCAACGAAAAAATCATGACTGACCATGAAATAAAATGACTTTTTTTCAGCAAGGACATAAGCAAAGAGATGCAGATAACGTAATAGTTTATTGATAAACAGTGGAGCTTTTCAAATGATCCCATACATCGAAAGTCGAGGAAAAGGCAAGCCACGTGGTCGGGCGCTTGGGTTCGCTCCCTGTTTCCTTCCTTTCCTGGATCCTCGCTCTCTGTTATACGTTGCTCGCTCCTGTGCGAAGAACATTTCACAAAAGCCAAGCTAAAAGCGAGCCAATATGTGTAGAGGCACAATGAGATTCCTCTGTGCCGGGTAAGGTTGGGCCTCCGCGAAGCTCCTGGATCTCAGGCTCAGCCCGATTACTCGTGGCTCACGCCCTTCGCGATTTTCCAAGAAAAAGCTACCACGCCCGCCGAGAAATGACCTAACCGCACGTAGTCGGGCGGCATCCCTCCCATTGGCACTTCCACTGGCAGTTCCACTTCCACTTGCGCTTTCATTGCAAAGGGAAGGCAAGAGGCAAGGACGGCAGCTGAGGCGAGGCGGGTAACATCCGACGACTTACGATTCCAGCTTAGATTCTTAGCTGGGATTCTAGCTCGGCTCTCGTCGTCGTCGTCGTCATTATTATTACCGTGCACCGTGTGCGATCTCCATACGCCTCGCCCCTGACTCGCACCCACAACTTTTGCCAGGCTCTACTTTTCCCACGGTTTCGTTGCTCAGCCAAAGAAGTTTAGCGAATGTATATCGAGGACTGTGACGGCGGCTGCTGTGCAACCGATAGTTCATCCTTCGCAAAAAGGTCGACACGTTCCCTTTACTTCGTGATCGGGAGCCCGGCCGCGGGTACGTGGGACCTGGAGGCTTTTGCGTCTTTGCCTTCTCAAACGCGTGTCGCAACTTCAAAGTTAGGACGCGGTCTTACCTGTTTTACTGAAAATTTCACTTTCCTCTTTTCCAAACAGAATAATACTGCTGATATGCACAAATTGAAGTTCTACAAAGGAAGTTTGCTTATTCCCTAATATTAATCAAATTGAGCTAATTTACGTACGGAGCAAATGAAATTTGATTTTCCAAATAACCGGAGCGCTTGCGAAGCGTACCAACTGCAAATAAGAAAAGTTCTAGGGGAATCGTCGAAACACGAAGTAGACCTTCAAAGGACGTAAAGGACGAGTCTCTCAGGGATTCTTAATGAAAGTAAATGATTGGCTGGTCCATATTGAAATTTAGCATCCCCAATGGCGCGAAGGGCCAATTTAGACATGGACACAGGTACAAGGTGCGCGTCTGCCGGCAGCTTCCCATAGACTACACGGTCTCGATCGGGATGAAACGTCGATTTAGGATTTTCCTATTTTACACTTTTCATTCGGTTCATTGGCACGCGATTATGTCAGCGCATAGCAACCGGAACGACCTTGGTCGTTTCCTTTGATACCAAAAGAACTCGAGCGGTTCCGCCAGGATGCCGATGTTACTTTCTTGCGAGGTGGACGGCATCTCAGACAGGCACCTTAGTAGATAGCTTCGGATAGCTTTAGATAGCTGATGCTGAAAATAACAAAAGTGCATCCACCAGCAAATCGATCGCTCTGCCGTAGTCCTGCCTCTTCGGCCTCCTATTCCCTTACTTGACTGCCGTTTACCTTCAAGGCGGATCGATAAAAATAATCTATTAAATGCTATTTACAATAGACGACAGCGACGAGGACGCCACAGGATAATCATCATGTCGCGTGTGAACGTGCCAACACTTGTGCTCCCACAAGACGATCCGATTAACGACGTCTCGATTCGCCGTTTCAATATCAAATAGATTAACACGCCGTAGAAGCTGCAGGGAAATTTCCTATCGACTCGTCGTCCACCCGTACAATATTAAGTCTGCGCCCTGCGATAGAGTGCAGATAGTTCCTTCAAATGAATTAATGGATATTTACGTAAAAACTTCAGTTGCGCAACGGAAGTTACGCAAGTATTTGCAAATATTTGCAAAGTGCGAGAAGCGCTCTGACAAGGAGGAACGAGAGTATTGCGTCCCTTACTAATATATTTTTTCCTCTTTTCCTTTTTTTCCCCCCCTTTTCCCATCGCCCTACGTCACCTGAATCGACCTCTTCTCGAGAATCATGGATATCCACGCAGTTTGACCGGGAGGCCGTGAATGGGTGTCTTTTCGTATTTGCCCATAAAAAGTATGAAACGTTTCGCCTCACGATGGAGCTCTATTCTGTTGAATCGTGTTTGGACGATCAAGTTCCTTATCTTGCTGCTTCGACCGGAAGCAGCGGAATGCCTCACGCGATGCGCTTGCGACATTCCTCTAGAGGAAGAATCGAGGGACAGTGAAATTGGTAACAAAATATTAAAAGAAAAAAAAAAAAAAAAAAGAAAAAAAGAGCACGAATATAGAAAGAACGGTGAATGAAAAATGTATTTCCTGCTCGTTCCGCGTTACATCCAGACAATAATGACGAGACATTCACTCGTTGTATCCAACAGTTATAAAAGAGTGGATGAGAAAGTAAGCGAAGCGACGCGTACGCCATTATTGTAACATAGCGTTACGCGCATCCCGCGATAAATGTCTAGTTCATTCGGTAGCGAGGATAGCGTCGCAAACAGTCGCAAACAGTCGCGAAGCACGTATCTCTCATTGTGCGGCCGAGTCGACGCAACGACGCTAGTCGAACTCGCCTTCCGCTACTTTCCCCGACTCAGTCGGCCGGGTGGGGGCCGCCTCTACCAACGTAACGCGCAACAACGCAATAGCGGCCGAGCCATCGGGACACGCTGCACGTCGCTCCTCTGGAAAGCTGAAAACTATCCAGGCGCCTTTGTCATGCTGATCTCTTCGAGAGTCCTCGTATTATTTGATATTCGCTCTCCTCGCCACACGCCACAGCGCTCCCACTTTTATATCTTTTTAGCATCTTCGGGGCACGAGAGTCGAGGACCTTCTCTTAGGAAAGCGGAATCGGCGTCACCTCGGCCGGTGCTGTTTCCTGCCGCTCTCCCATTCCCGATGACAAATGCACAGACGCTGCCTAAGGTCCTTCGGACACTGCGGAAGCTTCCCTTCTCCTTTTCACCCTCTTCGTTCCACCTTTAGTTTAGTTCGGTGCTCTTCCAAGAAATACGAATACGGATGCTTCCTCGGAGTCCGTTCAGTTCAGGGAGTCCGCACGGGTGATACTCATATCGCGCAATTTGGATACTTTGTTATTTGCTCACTCTTGGAGCATCCTTGGCGTTCCCGTGGAATTCCTCGATACGCAGAATTCCGAAGGAATGCCTTATAATTTTTTATCAGTCGACCACTCGGTAACGATCGATTTCTCCATGTTGTTTTCAGAGACTCTGGCAGGGTGGCAACGTCACCGAAGTCCTGGGACCAATTCGCCTGGTGCACCGGTTTGTCGACATGCCCAAGCAGACTGCTGAATTTTTGAATGAAACCACCGGAAGTAAGGCAGAGGTAAAACAGATGTCTATCCTTAATTATCTCATTTTTATTTTTTGAGGCTAAACAGAAATCAACGTGCTATCCACGGCGCCACGTGTCATCGGTCGAGCAGCCCAACGATCCTTTGGTGCAAGTAGAAGTCGAATCGTTTGAAAGCTTGTAAAGTATATTATTCACGACTATGTCAAGACTGATCAAGCACCAGCTGCTCCCCTCGATTACTCTTTCGACCGCTTTGCTCTTTTCACTTTATTTCTTAACGATTCAGATACCTATTTGATTCATCTCCTGTCTCCGTCGGGTATGTCATCAAGTCGGGGTATTCGGCTTTTCGGAAATGTCACACCTTCCGGAACCCACCGCTTCCGGCTACGTGAGTCGTTCGGTGAGAGCAAACACTCTCTGCTAGCTTCCAGGGTAGCTGACGCTGCGCGACTGAATTCTCCCCGCTCGGACGGAGGCTGGACCGGTGCTTGCAACGTGAAAGGCAAAATCCAAGTCTTCTCCTCCTCAACGATTAAATTACGGTACGAGGTCCGGTGCCGGTAGTAGATCGGGACGGATAGTCCTAAATACGATGCTACCTGCGGATGACGGACAAAGGATGAGCGATGCTCCGAGATACAATGACGAGCTCCAAGCCCCTTTGAAAGAATAAGACTTAATAAGGTCAGCCCCGGCGGTCTGTCGCGTGCCCAGTTAGTTCTGTGGTCCTTCGATTTCGCTTGCGAGTTGTGACCACCTACTTCTTTGCTAGCTTCCGTGCTAGTGCCACGGGAATGCACTCGATTCGTGTTCATCGTATACTTCTTACCTTTTCTTCTTTCCTAGGAACTTTTTTCACCATTTTTTAAGGTGATCGTGCCTTTGTTAAGCGATTTTTAATCCTTAGTATCCAAATAAAAATGATAAAACTAGATTCGATAGAATATTAAAATTTGAGAGAAAAGATAAAAAATTGTACAATGTATACGGTAATATTATACGTATGTATAGCACTAGGAGCATCGCTGGTGGATCGGATCAGAATCTCAGAGTGTTTAGAAGCGAACCGTACCTCGGCTTTAAGATCGCAAGAAATTCTGAGAATTGGCCTCCGCGTGGGCAAAGTGCACGTGGGATATGCTTTAATTAGCTCCTCTCCTTGACGCGTACGTATCATGGATTGCTAGAAAAAAGCGCTGGGTCACCAGTTTTGCCGTAAGCTTTCGCAATTCTGCGATACGATAAGAAAAGCCGAGTTTTCATGGCGTTCGGGTCTTGACTTAAATGGTCATAGACATAGTCCTTGACAAACGTATTACTCACTGTAGCAATATGATCATTTACTCGTAAAAAGTCTGTTCCGAGAATTCTCGCTCTTTCTTTGGACTCCTGCTTACGAACGTTTCCAATCTCTCTATGGAGTTTCGGAATATTTTCTGATTGGACGAAGGTCGCTGCTAATCCGAATTTTCTTCAATTTTAGTTGCGCCTCGGCCGAATTACGACATAAGCGCACGAAAACAGCCGCAGGGCGAATTCTCTCCTGTTATTATATTTGAATGAACATAATTAGACTAGTAGACATGCCCGTGTATATGTGTTATGTTATATAGTATAGCGTTTCAATGGACAAAGTCCATTTGGAGCTGTCTGCGACACCGAGGCTTGCGTGACATCATATCCCATAAGAGGTCCACTCTATTTACCTCGTCAGTCACCGTTATAACTTATTATATTCGAACGTGAGTTTAACTTTGATTAAAATTGATAGCGATACCTAATTTGCTGTGTGGACTCGAAGTTCTCGATTCTCAATAATTGGATCAATTGGATCAATTGGATCACGTGTCGCTATAGCGAATCAGTAGCCATCGTGCCTTCGGAGACATTGATACTGGAAGCGTCACCGAAGGAGAAAATGAATCGGAGGACATCTCATGGGATACGGCGAGACGCAAAACTGAATGTCGCGAACACCTAGAAATACATTTGACCAATTGAAATACTATATATAGATATATATTCGATATATAAGAATCACGAGGAACACAAAATATGGGCGTGGCTAGTCTATTTATAGTCGGTAAGTGCTCCGACCATATGACCCTCCTGTGCTGTGGCGTTCGGTACGTAGTGTTCAGGAACTTCGCACGATTTGCAGGTACATGGCTGCCAACCGGCGATGGGCTACAGCTTCGCAGCTGGCACGACAGATGGCCCGGGCTCTTTCGCCTTCGAACAGGGCACGACGACGTCAAATCCTCTTTGGAACACCGTGAGAAACTTTCTGGCAGAGCCAACTCCGGAGGACGTTCGCTGCCATGGCGCCAAACCAATATTATTGGCAACCGGTCGGGTAGGTAGAGATCTGCATTATCAAACGGGAGAACAAATCCAGTACGACCGAGTCTACACGAAAATTCTCTAGTTAATGCTTATATTACATGTTGGATATCAGAGTTGAATGCCACTCGGACGAACAAGTCACGTTGTGACTGTCGGGACTGTGAATATCACGACAATCTGAAACATTGTCTCTTAAAAGAAACCTATCAGGTTGCAGTATGTATTTGGGACTTCAAGGTGGAAACACGCATATTCGAGATGCAAGTTCGTGTAGTTCCAAATTTCCATCAATCAAAACCAACCTGAAAATGTGTAATTTTGAAATTCAAAAGTGCAATAATTTTCAACGATCGTTTCTTCATTGGAATACCGCAATGTATAGACCTTACGTATCTAAAGTTTTCTCAAAGTGCACACCGTCCCGTGAATTTCGTAGTGGGAAAATCATTTGAGTGCCGTTAAATGACAGAACGACTCGTCCCGTTGTAAGGCTGTACACGTCTCATGCTCATAAAAGGTTTTCAATTTTTATGACGACGCAGATTATTTCGCTGAGTGCATGAATATCCAGTCTATCCCTGAAAATTTGTCTTCCCTGCAAAATGGCAGTACGAGCACTCCAAAGGATCCAAAGGAACACTTGCCTTGGATTGACGTAAATCCAGAATGGAAATGCTAAATCTGATAAATTTGACCCAGACAGACATTTTATACAGTGCCCTTCGGCTTCCCTCCCTCTATTATATTACTACTCGAATACCAATTACATTAATATACCAGGGTGTATATTTGATTGTGAGACGGGTGCATGTGTACATATTTCTCTCTCACTTTACGATCAGTTCTGTTACGGCGACTACTTCCATGTGATCGACGTATGTGCGTCACACACTGATTACGAGATGTCAATCGGTTCTTATTAATTCAGCAATCGCTCCATTTCTTGACGCCTGATTCCGAACTTTCATTGACGTTTCCTTCCTTTCGCAAACTCCTATATTTGCCCTGAAAGACGATGCTCAAGCGCTCGATATGTTATCTTTTATTCTCAAGATGGTATTGCCATACGAATGGCAGCCTAAGGTGGTGTCAACTCACGTAGCCGTTTTGGGAAATGTCATTATTGCTGGCGTGCCCGGTGAATTCACTACGATGTCCGGCAGGAGACTACGTGACGTCATCAGGAAAGCAGCCAACGACGCTCTACAGGAAGCCGACCTTGCCGTCATAGTGGCAGGTTTGTGTAACACCTACAGTGACTACATCACTACACCCGAGGAGTATCAGGTAAAATCTTACAATTAATTCCTAAACTTTAATTGACAAGCAAAGGTAAAGGAGTTGTCGTTTTTATTAAAAGACAGATGAGTCAAAAATGTACGAGAAATACATGTATTGGATGAAAAAATGAGTCGAATATAGAATACAAATCTTTTTTATTTTTCGGCCTAACTGTCTAACATGGTCGACTTCTCATTGGCCAAGGGTCCTTAAAGATCTACGATTTTGTGTTGTTCGGCTGGGTGAAATTACCTTAGATCACTCCAGGTTGCCAAACTAGGAATGTTCAGGCGCGGACTCTCGCTACTCATTGTCGGTCGTTAATCCTCCAAGTATCGAAAACGAGATCGAGTGGAATTTCGCGTGTCCACTGGAAAGTCTTCTCTCATAAAAGCAGGCGGAACCATAATGCGCTGACCACTTCGAGTTCCCTTTGAATATACACGTGGCGCCACTCGTGAAACGCGTCTATTTCAGGCCCTTGGTGCGACTTCGGTTTAACACTATGTTTACGGACATTTCTTGTCTACGAAATCAGACATTTTCTTTAAAAAACCAACTTGAAAGCAAGATAATTATATACTATTAATTTATAAACGAAACTATGAGATATATATTTATATAAAATGTATAATATCCAATATTTATTATACCTTTTCTACACGAGGGTATTCAAACGTAAATACGTTGGACATAAACGGTGACGCCGCCGTGTCAGCTACTTCAGATTTCAAATATCCAGTTCCAAGTATCGCCGCTGCATTGTTTATATTTACTTTTGACGTTTACACTTTCTTGCAGAACTATCTATTTTATTACGTTTATATTAATTACTGCAGTAATGCTCTCACGAGTGAAGCCAATTTACCAGCACTAATGCTTACTTTACGATCACGTCAGATTTACGCGAATCCGTGGAGATAGGTACTTGGGTATATCACAAAGAAAGTTTTAAAATTAGAAAACTTTGATGAAAATTAATTTCGATATACAATTTGTCTCGTTAAATGGAGTAAAAGTGGCGGAATAATAATTTAGACCGTTTCTGTAATTTTCCTGATGTAATTGCAAATATGTCAAAATGACGCGTGGCCCGTAATAGAAAGGATCAACAGGATTAGACATATCTCATTAGTTGAGATACATTTGGTCATACTCTTAGTGATTTCGTATAACGAGGCATTCGTAATGAATGCTATCTCCATATACATATACATACGTAATATAAGAATCAGCAAGAGTGACTGTAACATTACACTATAGGAAATACTCGTATTTCATTTTCAGATTCAACGATACGAAGGGGCCTCGACTATCTATGGCCCTCACACGCTTACCATTTACTTGAAACAGTATCAAGAACTCGTTACGGCCGCCATTATGGTAATGATCATTAATCCAATATATATAATTCGCATTATTGATATATGCTCGAGCGAATATTGGCAATACGAGTGAAAAGACAAAAAGACAAATATTTGCCGAGCTGGTCCACGTGACTTCATGGATACCCCATTGAAGTCACTATTCTTAGTCATAATTTATTTTAGGCGAACACATTCATTTACTGCGAGAATCAGCCGGCCCTTTCTCTGAAAATGCTTAATCCTTCACGTACCGAAATTTCTCAAAGAGCAGCAATCTTCCAAAGGAGAATCTTCAAATAGTTATTGTTTTCAGAAAAAGGATCTGGAGCCGGGCCCGTTGCCTCCGGACCTATTGAAAGAGAACCTGATCAGCCTGGTGACACCGGTGCTCTACGACACCCCTAAGTGGCGTCACGACTTTGGCGATTGTCTCCAGCAGCCGCCCGCTAAAGTATTTCCAGGTGACGTCGTCACTGTTCAATTTGTAAGTGACAACTTCCGTGCTGACGTTTGCGTCTCATAGTCTTGATCCTTCATTTTCTATAAAGGAAGTACTACTCGACTGTTCCCGATTATTCGGCTGGACACGCATATCGTGCAAAGGCACGGCGCTAACGATAAGCAGTCAAGATTTTACCCCACGTTCGTTCCTCTCGAGGATTAACGGGATGGATGATTTTACACAGGGCCCGATTTTGCTATGGCTGCGCGTTCATCAGGAACGCAGCTTGTGGATTCAGCTGCGCTCCGTTTGGCGGGTCCTTCGCCTACAGTTAGTCAGCTTGAATCGAACGAGAGTGCCAGACTTTGGCTTTTTGTGGCAATCCACAATATATGGCGAAATATGAATGCTAAAAGGATTCTTCGTAAAATGAAGTCGCACTGAAAATATTTCGGAAATAGGATTTCGACGTGGATTAAAAAAAAATAATGCTGTTACTACACGATTCAAAATAGATTATATATGTCGAGTTAGATTTCACCTGACGCATGGGGACACGGGATATTCTTACCCGATTAAGGGTGGATTTGGTTCAGCTGCTTCTAGTCCATTTGCACGTTATATGTATGACTTGGTTACGTAAAAGTCGTTCAGTTACGGCACAGGAGATCGGGGTGTTTATATAGTAAGTATTGACACAACTTGTATCGCTGCACTACCTAGGATATTGCAAGGCGCAATCGCACGCTATAGGTACCACCAGTGCACTTCCCATCCCGTAAGAGGAACGTAAACGCAGCGCGCTTAGTCAGATTGACATTAACTATACTTGAGATCTCGATGGGGATATACATATTGTATGTGTAATACATGTTTAAATGTTTCCATTGGAAGCGTCAGTTGCGCCGCATCCACAATTGCATACTGTCTCGACTCTTTCAATAAATATAAAGGATATCAATGTGAACTGGCCTTAAGGAATAATCTTTTCTCCGATCGTCCGACTTTGCTCCAAGAAAAATGCTTGCATCCCTCTTAAATGAAATGCCTGTACGCGCTGCGTGGTAAAACTCTGCACTCTCAAAAAGTCCTAGGAAAAGCCAAAGTTGACTTTGGAAAAGATTTTATTAAACTCCTGGAGGCTTTCGAGAGAGTCCACTTACAGAATCCTCGTCGTGGCTGCCCACGTGCAAACTTCGGACCAAACTAAATTTACGTCATACGGATTTTCCCTGATAATACAAATATTAAGACTCGACATTTAAGTCCTTTATTATCCATTTGATGTTCTTTGAAATTTAAGGTTTCCGGGCATCCCAGGAACAATCTCATGACCGGAAGTACCTACCTGACTGTTGAGAGGCTAAACGACGATGAGACGTGGACCAGCGTCGCGACGGATGCTGATTGGGAGACGACGTACGTATTTAATCGGCGTAGAAAGCCGGGGATAAAAATGTCTTAAGAATTTGAAATATATCCAGATTCGTTTGGGAGAGAACGTCGGTGGTCCTAGGATCAAGTGACGTCCTCATCTCTTGGAAGGTTCCCGATGACGTCGAACCGGGTCATTATCGCATAAGGCACAACGGTCATTACCGATATATTTTAGGGGGCGTTTACCCGTACCAGGGTGTCACCAATCAGTTTCAGGTAAATCGACGGACTATTTGTATTTCGAGCTACTAGTTTGTCGATACCCTCGGTCGGCTCTGTCCTGCCCGATTTTTCCAATCTCACCAATCAATCGTTTCAGGTATTGACGTCTGCTGTCAAACGGTGAATATACCCCAAGATAGTTCCGTTATGATATTATACCGACTGCATAACGGAACGCGCAATCACACGTTCCTGCGATCCTTCTTACATGCTTGCCAGCCCTTTTACTGCTACTCGTGCAGTTTTCATAGCAGCGGACAATGCGTCACGAGCGACGTAGTCGATCAAATGGAAAGTCTCGTTCTTCCTCACTGGTGCACTTCCTTCCTACTTCGGTCCACGCACTATTGTCAAGATTCTATTTAAAAACAACCGACGCCACTCGCTCTTGGAAAAACAATCAAAGTATTTGCACACGCTTGGCAGAACTCAACTCAACTCAAGTTCGATTTTATTGAAGATGGTGCGGATGGATTATGGTGCGTCAGTACTGTCTCTACCGAATAATTAAGCATATGTTATGTTTAATTCGTCAATCTTACTTGGTCTTTCTTCAATGACAGTGATTGTATTCTGTTATACCTTAGGACACATAAGAGCATTAATAAATACATAATACATTTTTATTCAGTTATTATTATTATCCGTGATTAATGGGTGTAAGCGCATTCACTCTTTTGTCATGGCAATGCGGTATCACATTGTCAAATTAGATAGCGAGGTAATTGAATTAACAAGCCTTAATATTTAGTATACGGTACTGTCCTTACAGTGGAATCGATCTTCAAATCGGTTCTGTTTCTTTGTGAGATTCTGTGCATTGGTTAAGAAAGCACGTAAATTCTCCTACAAGGGACAGACACCTCGGAGAAACATGCATGACCCGAGTCCTGAAAAAGCAGCGTAAAACGAGCGACCTGAGCTCCGAGAGAAAAAAATATTTATCCCACGTACGAAATTTGAATGGTTTTCTAGGAAGTATCGTAATTTAATTAATCTTAAGGAATTTTGATATTGGCGACTCTTCCAGCATCCGATGAGCACAAGGAAGAACGAAATTATTTTAATCATGGCTGGATATTAGCACATTTATCGACGAAATGGGAGAAGCGGAGCCATTCTGCATAAGAACGTGCAACTACTCTCCTCGAAATAAGAGCTGCAAGAAAATCTATCTGGATAATTTCACAAGACCCCACGTAATGTACACGCGGAACGTTACGCATCTACCTTTGTATATATATATAAAATATATCGTAAGATACAGCGGTTATCGAATACAGATTACGAACAGTGAAATATGGTTTATTGTAAGGTCGCTGAAGAGCAGCAGACAATAGAAATCGACTCGTCAAAATATTCTGAGAGGATGCTCTTTCGAATTTGCCAGTACACAAATTTCCCATTGCCAATGTTTCTCAGCCAGAGGTAACGAATGGTTTTCCATTGACTTGCCGCGCATTATCTTCGGTAAAAAACATTTGGCAACGGCAAATTTCCTTACGGCTGGCATCATGAATTATCGTTCGAATTTAGCCAATATTCATAACACCGTGCAGGATGAATTGGGCCGAGTAAATAACTCACTTAAATCAGTGAGGAGGAGACGGAATAAGGATAGAAATTTGAAAGGCGATCGGACCGTCGAGTAAAATTAAAACTAAGACCATGCATTAGAGCAACTCGGCCGGAGGCAGTACTCGGTCCACAGTAATTTCCTCGTATAAAAGTTTCTTTATCCGAAGGGCAGGCTTTGTCGCAAATCCGGACAGAAGTATATATGTATATATCGAATTTTCTAGAGCAGCATTTCATTCTCCGCGTGTTTACTTATGATTACTTACAGTTCTTCCATCCATTTCTTTTGCGCATTATAATTGTGCGATTTCAAATGCACGGCTGCGGCGATGGTTTGACTCGAGGGAACCCACGAAACATCCTAAGGATGTCCCTCGGACGTCTTAATAAATTTTAATTATTAACTCGGAGTCCGTAAACAAAAGCAGCGACTCGGTTAATTTATTTGGCCAACTGCCGATTTACATGATCAGTCATCGTCAGGCACTCGACCGAGGAGGCACAAGCACGTTCGAATTATAAAGAAGACAATCAGACAATAATTGGCATACACGCGTCGTGCTGCTCATCTTCCTATCCCTTTTGCTCTGGAACTCCAGTCGATCGATACTGCATCGATTCACCAGACCAACCGATCGAACCTGCGTCTTCAGTGCGACAGTGCTCGTAGGCAAAGCCAAATTCTCAATCTGGATAGACGCTAATTATTGCAGACCCGAAACCCACTACAGCTGTCGGATTAGCAAACCCGACTAACCCGGAAGGGCAAATCCGGACTATAATTTGAAAGCCTGAGTTACGGTCACGTGTCCCCGTTCCCTTGTGCACGTGGCCATCGCTCGCGGCCACAGCCTGAGGAACAACATTGCCGAGCCCTATTCGAGCGACTGTGCGCCTGGAGCCAAGGATCGAAGGATCGAAGGATCGAAGGATCGAAGGACGACCCGCTACTGAATACCCTTTCTAGATCCAGGAGTTTCTGTCAGAAACAGAAATTCACAGGAGATTTCATCGCAATTAGGCCGACGGAACGTCTTTGTTCTCGCGCGCGGAGCAGCCGTACGACTTGAGGACGAATGAAAGACTCGCCTAGTCTTGAAGTTCCCTCTTTTGGCACATTCTAATCTCTCCCTCGAGATTATTTACAGGCTATTTTTGGTTCTCCGGTAAAGGAACCGTAAGAACTGCACTGCTGGTCGAGGCTGATGACGTGATGATATTTGTCAAAATGTGCTTAAAATTAGAACGACCGTTAAAATAGATGGTATTTCAGTCCCGATAAAAGCGAATCGACGAGCTCCTCACGGTTATTCGAGGCGTCGGTGTGACGCGCGCGCGTCTCGCCAGCCTGCCGTTACTCTTATGAATCGACTGGAAGACGCGAAGGCGGAGCGAAGGGAAGCAAAGGTCCACTTGAAGTCAGTTAAACTATACGAATAAAATAGCCTCCGCGACGATAATTCCTACGTCAAAGAAATGGAAAACTGGGTCGATCGTTCTCATTTGACACGCACACCACTTGTGGTACTTCCTAACTGGTCCTAACCGAATTTCATGGTTCACAGGAGCTCGCAATTAGCAACCCGCTCCCTTTTCTTGCGTGCATCACGCTGCCCTTCCGCTGTGGAACAGCCGAGGGAGCGAAAGAGCTGGAGCCATTCTCGAGTTCTTAATGTCATTTCGAAACTTCCCTCCCCTCGCCTTCCGTAATATGTATTATCAGCCTAGTGTCCCTTTTTGCCCTTAAGAAATTACGTACAGCATCCCGATTTTCATCGATGAAATTTCACGGAAAGAATAGTAGATTTTCATGTAAAGTTCACAGAGTTCGTGAAATGAGATTTTATATTACAATCAAAAAGATTGATTTAAAAGATAGGAGAGACGAGATCCAACGAGAGGAAAATTCCAATGTAACGTGTTAATTTGGAAGCTGCCGAGTCTTCGAGAAAAGAATAAAAAAGACCGATGGCCGGTCGATGGTTGAGCGACGGAGAGCAACCAGTCTATTGGAATGTGTTTTGAATCCGGCGCCTTGGACTTGATGCGTCTCGTAGATGCGATTTTACCGATCGATGAGTTCGACATGTCCACCGGGTATAGTAATTCGAGGCTGTTGAGGACGCAACGTCAATATCAATAACAATAGGAAGAGTAATGGCGAAAGAAGTGGAGTACGTCTCTCTAATGAAATCGTAAATTTGCGATAGACGTCTTAATGAGAATTCGGCCGACGGCCTTAAAAAACAAACATCTACTCGACTACTATTCCACCAGGCAAAACCATAATACAGTGCATAAGCACATTCAAGTGAAATTTCGACCGGCCGAAAGACTGAGGCCCGCTGTCGCAGCGTCGCACGGAAATTTCCGGAGATTCCTATGTTACCCGCAATGTGCAACGAGTCCTCGTAGGTTAGAAGTGGCATTTTTGAAAGCACAGTTTGGCAAAATTTCCTCCTAATTCTACCTTTAGCAGCTTCCTTTGATTCGTAGGAGCATCAACTATTGGCTGATTGATATCGCGCCTGGGTGGCTACGCGGCCACTGGGGCCATCTGGCGCGGACTAATTTCGTCGTAATTTCCTCGTAAATTTGAAACCGTTACAGTAAGAGGCGCCCAAAATCCGTGCTTATCGAATTCCGCTCTGTGTTTGCCGAACGTCAAAGCGGCCGCACCGATCGCGGCGATCAGGTTGATATTGCCTATCGGAAACGACCCATTCTCTTTCGGCGAAATATAGCTGCGTGAATATGCCAGCCATATGTCTTCCACTGATACTCGACGGTCCGATTTTTCCTTTGATTTTAAATTCCTATAAAATCCTTTTACGCGACTGGCCGAATTTCCTGGCCCGACTCCTAATAACCAGATCGTTATTGGCGCCCGTCGACTCCTTCGACCTGAAGAATCCCACAGGATCCCGAGGACCTTCCTTCCGCATCCATTCCCCCGTGCATTTCTAGGCTCACACTCGATACGCACGACTGGCGTGCACGGGACGCCGCGTCAATGAAACTTGGCCAAATGTCTTCCGCTTCGTTCCATTTTTTGGAGATTCAAGTAATTTCGCTGCGGAGGAGCGATCCGAAAAAATGTGAATACCTGAGAATGTGTCGGTTTCCTTGTGATTTTGCCTGACATTGAATTTGAGATCGAATCAAAAAATTCTTCGAGGGATCTATCGTACTGCCGGAAGTGTATCGTCTCTTTGAAAAATGTATTCTGGGCCAATAGAATCTCGAATAAATTCATGAAATCGCAGGAAACAAAGGAAGCGTATTTACACTCTATCACGTCCAGTGCACCCAGATGCACCATTTATTCATAGTGGGTTGGCAATAAAATTCAGGAATGATAAATACTTTTATACAGTATATACCGGAATGAGAACGCATAAGAATAATAGCTTGATGAGAGAAGGAGTAAACGTATAAAAAACGAAACTCACGTAAACTTCAAGGTCGGAGATTGGCATCCCTAATAAATTTAACTCACAAATTACGTGGACTATATTATTGCCGCACCGTATATTATTAACACGCACGTGTGCATTATACTGTTTTTCGTTTTTCGGATTGAAATTTAAAAGAAAAAGTCCCTCCTAGACCAAAGTCGAACGAGTCTCCTTGTGAAATTCCAATCCTGCCGACTTCGAGTACCGATAAACAACAGTAGAAGTGCGAACATGTCAGAGAAATAAGAAATAGAATCTGATCGCAATAACACAGGGAAAATCCTCGAATCCCGCATACGGTGGCCCTGGCTCGGGTCGGCGTCGGCGTCGGCGTCGGCGTCGGCGTCGGGAAGAGCGCGCGCTTCGTAAATCCGTCCTTCTTGTCCGCAGGCGTCGCGTCCTCGCTGCAGTCGTCTCTCGTGGCGCCGTGCGAATCGACGCGAGGCGTCGTCATTCTCCGCCGGGTGAAGCGTGACATCACGGTTAGAGTTCGTTAAAACCGAATAAACAACAGAAGCTTTTTACGAGGGTCTACCCGGAGAAGATGAGCGACCGTGTGACGTGAACTGTCAAGATTAAGAATGTCGTCATCGCGATCATCGTGATCATCGTGATCATCGTGAAATAAGCCGCGACTGGATGCGCACTAAAGCCCAAGGTGCCAACTGAAATGGAAAATTCGTTGGAAATTGCCCTGCCGACGACCCTGGGGATCGTGCGCGAAGCCCAGGAGGAACTGTTCCAGAGGGCGAACGGAAGCCTCTTCCTTGGGGCGGGGACGGGGGCGGCCGCGGGAGTGGAAACGGAAGATGGGAATCTGAGTGACAGCAGCCTGGCGTCGAATCCTTACGATCCCCCCCGGGACCCCCTCTACGTGGTGATCCCGATAAGCGTGATCTACGTCGCGATATTCCTTACCGGAATCGTCGGGAACGTCAGCACGTGCATCGTGATAGCGCGCAACAAGTCGATGCACACCGCGACGAACTACTACCTCTTCAGCCTGGCAATTTCGGACCTGCTGCTGCTGGTGTCAGGACTTCCGGCCGAGATTTACCTGGTGTGGTCCAAGTACCGTTACGTCTTTGGCGAAGTCTTCTGCGTCCTGCGAGGCCTGGCTGCCGAGATGTCGACCAACGCGACGGTCCTGACCATCACGGCCTTCACGATAGAGCGATACGTCGCCATCTGCCACCCGTTTCTCTCGCAGACGATGTCCAAGTTGTCCCGCGCGATCAAGCTCATCCTACTGATATGGGTTATCGCCGCGTCCTTTGCCATCCCGCAGGCGCTGCAGTTTGGCATCGTCACAGGCCCCACCGAAGATTCCGATTACCTCATGTGCACCTTCAAGACCGAGATCATTCAGCACTCCTTCGAGCTCTCGACCTTCCTCTTCTTCGTGGTTCCCATGGTCTTGATCACCGTCCTCTACGTTCTAATTGGCCTGAAGCTCCACCAGTCCAACATGATGAAAAGTGACTCCGGCAAGAGCTACGTCGCCAGGAAGTCTTACGGGAAGTCGAGGCACAGAGACCGGAATTGCCGTCACCACGCAGGAAAATCCTCGAGACGTGTCCTGAAGATGCTCGGTGAGTATGGACCAAGGCAGATTCACCTGCACGTAGTTCTCGCGGAATTCCAAGTGTCAACGGTCTCGCGATTTGTGCCTTTTCTTCGATTGAGCTTCACTTTGGTTCAGTCCGAACGGCGGCGGCGTCGTGCCTGCTGGTGGTCGTGGTCATCGTTAAATGGAACGGCCGCTCTCTTGAATTTCTTCTGACTTTAACGAACGTCGGAAGTCAATTTTAATGTCGCTCCTCGATAAACACCCGAGCCGGTTAGCTGCGTGCTTGTATCGAACCGTGCCCCACCTGTGAAAGTCGTGTGCACGTGCATCAAGAGTATCTCGACGATCCAGAACACAGACTGCATAATATTTGTCCAACCGTTTCTAGAATTTAAAGGATCTCTATAGATGACAGGGATATACATATAGACTCTCGGAATTTCTGCAACAAGGACTGCACTCCTAGAATTATTGAATCATTGAATAATTGTCCCGATGACGGTCGATTGGCAATTGGCAATTCTTTGTTTGACTAAAAAGAAAGAAAATACGATAGCAGCTTATATATATAATTATTCGATAACCGACTCGCAATTATCATCGCCATAATGCTTCTCATTAGGATAAATTTTATACGTATTTCTTTTAGTCGTAATTAACACAGCGGATGGATGCATAATTACGAGGATAATAAACAAAGTAAAATAACGCTGATCGGTATAAGTAAAGCCCGCAGGTCTTACCGAATACGCTTACGACGATCTCGGTGCCGTCGACACGTCTCTCGCATTACGTATAAGAAATTCCGTATTCGCATTTCATAAGAGACAATGCATCGGCGCGTCGGACTCCGTAGACGGAGACGGATTATGAAAGTCAATTGGATTGCGCGCTGAAGGCACTCGGCAGGCATCGGCGGCCTCGCAGAGTATCGAAATTATACGGAGGAGTATACATATACATAGCGCAGGGCAGCCACTGATACGCACGTGCTGCATAAATTAGTTACGCTTGATATCTTTTCGAATAACGGCAAAACAAAAGGCAAAATTTACATTCGTTTAATTCGCATTTCCCACACTAAACCTACGAGTCATTCTCCCGGGTATCAGCCGCGAAAGTTCCAGCTCCAACTAATTTCTCGTTACGCTTTTCCCTTTCATTGTTGCCGTTTGCAATTTTTTCATCTCGTAAAGATCTTCCTACCGACCATATGTACTTGCAGTACTTGGCATATCTAGAGAATGACGCTTTTGATACCGTAGAAAGGAAATTGGCCGGGAAGCAAGTGTAACTCTTCGGCGCCCAGGCAACTTTGTACGTTTTAAGTGACGTGCAGTTATTGTTATTAAAATTATGGGATTCAAAGTATAGAAGACGATTTCTCGTTAAATCTGACATAACGATCAACTCGCGGGCCCACGTGGAGACGTAGGTTACACAGACGCGTCATTCTCCGTCGGAGCGAAAGGAGAGTTCAGGAAACGCTTCGACAGTTGGAATTCTTGAGTCACGTCGTAATTATGTAATCATGTTTTTATCGATACAATTGGCAATGTCATGGAACGCAATCCAATGAATCCGAGATGATCTAAGGTGAAAATAAGTAATTTGCAACTTATCATTCCCACGAAACGCATCGTCGTACGTGCGCGATTACCTTCTCCCCATTATAAACAGGCGTCCAAGTGACAAAGTTCCTAGGCTCGTCTATACGATCAAGATCATAAATAAAAAAACGAGCACGGAGTGACGTGGATCCTAGGGAATTTCTGTGAGGTCCGTCGTAGTATCACCAAGTCGAAAAGTGCAGTCCGATCAAAGCAAAATACAATATATGAAAGAGAAAGTCTGCTCGAGGCTCATAAACTGATTAATGATTACACGCGAAATGCAGCCAGAGTGTAAGGAGAAATAAAGCAATGGAAGCTATCGGGTACACACCTATACCTAAAAGGAGTCGATCCACAGGATTGATTAGCCAGTCCCGGCCTCGTCCGCCTGATTTCGATGCGGCCGATTCCGTCGACCACAGACTGTCCTCGCTGCGAAATTCGGAGCTGCTAAATGCCGGCTTGCCTCGATTAATCTTGCCAACCTACAGCCTCTTAATCGCACGAAATCGCACGACCTTCCAAAGTTCCCAGTGTTAACGACACCTAAAGCAGCGAACCCGTCCGACTGGTAGGCCCGACGCTTCAGCTGCAAGCTGTTCCTTGCGAGGTGAGACCTCAAAGAAATTGACAAACGCGCGAATCCCGGCGTGGCTGGACTCGACGGCAGAGTTTTCGAATCGAGCAAGGCGTTCTGGATCCAAATATTTTCCAAATATTTCAACAGCTCGATGCTCCTTGTATATCCTTGACTATTCGCGTAAGCGTGTAAAAGCAGCGTGCATTGGGATACAGATTGATATGCTAACTGAAAGTTAACATCAACGTCCCGCACGATTCTGTGCTAAAGGTTCATTGTATCGGCGGACGGTCGCGAAGAATATGAAAATATTTCCGGTTGTCTCGTGATAAATCGCGAAGGCGTCTTCGACGCGATCGCAGACAGAAAATCTGGTCTCGTTAACTCGGGAACGAAGTTTACAGGCAGCCAGACGAACAGCAACTGAATAAAGCAGACGCGTGGAGACGATTGAAATCCGATTCACAGTCAGTAAATCCTTAGGGGTATCCGAAGCACGAGTAGCAAGACCAGCAAGGCGCAGTCAACGTTTATCGTAGATTACTGGTTAATTTGGCACGACGACCTAGAGAGTCCTTCGGGCCGATTCGTCTATTGGCCGTCCAGTATTTGCTGCTTCATAAACGAAAGGTAATATCGTGTCTCTACGTCGTATCGTACTCCCCATTGCTCAGGGCCCAGTCGATTCTCGTGAAACCACTCTATTGCTGCTGCTGTTCGATTTTATATAGGGGCTCGAAAGTGCCTGAACGACTCCAGTCATAACGGGAGCACTTCTCCTCGTCGGCTGCTCGTTAATCGGATCCCATACGGAGTCCTCGAGTTCATCGCGACAAGGTCAATGTAATCGCGAGTGTCAGGACGATGAACGGCCGAAGGACAGCGATCGTCGGTGGCTTCTGCACCTAGGCCAGGATATTACAAATTGTGGTGAAGTACGGAATCCTTCCCTCGGATTCCTGCTTCGTTTCTCCCCCATCGCCAACAGCCATCCGTCGAACAGTTCATTGGTAGCCTATACATACAGCCTGCCAGCATTCGATTCTTATGTCAATCGCTATCATTTTCCTTGATTAATTAGCGAGCATGAATTATCCCTGGATAATCTTATTTGCATCATTCAATGGCGACTTGAGTTTTTCACTTGACCTGCGAGCTCTTTCATTGGAATGCATTATTTAATGCGTATATCCACTCAGTTGCAATTTTCTTCCTTTCTCATGAATCTACTCGAGCCAAGGGAGTCGGGATGCTGTGTATAAAAATATGAGATGCAGGAAAAACATTGTCCATTGGCGCGTAAGTGTTTCTCATACCGTCGTTACGTGTACTTCTTTTTTTACGACTCCTTTACTATTGAAATTACGATAAACATTGCCAAGGATAACCATAACATGTATTTATCTTACAGACAAATGCCGCACACACAGAGATCCGCGACTTATTCCACGAGAATAGTCACTTCTCTGCGTGCAGCTAGATCTTAGGAATTTACAAGACGTCCCGCTTGGCTGGCGAGAACGGCAGCCGTGACGGTGCGCGATCCTCTCGATCAGCCGCTGATCGGATTGAGCGACCCGATTGATCGTGGTTGAGGCTACCCCCAATCGTCCCTACGGGTATTTTATATTCTTAGAAGAAATTTAAGAAAAAAAAAAATTTATAATAAAGCACCACACGAGACCATTTCGCAGTTGTTGCACAGCCGACCTTGCACTTTCTGCGCTTTGCATTAGAATTCATTTTGCGTGGTTTTCGTCTGAAAGCCAAAGCCGCCGGCAGACGGGGAGACGAACGTGACGGGTCGCGAAGAAGTTTTGGTAAGAGCGGCGGATTCGCTAATAAATAAAACGATAACTGCATATATACATATGAAGAGGTGCATTCGGACGGTACAGTCGAATGGGCGTCCATCTTTATTCCAGTGCTGGAATTTTTCGGGGAAAAAAGAAATTGAAAAAAATTGTTTTATATGACTTTTCGAGGGATCTTCATTTTATGAATTTTAATGCAAGGGAGCTTGTAGGAGTTTCCCAGAGCTTAAACGTTACTGACACCTCGAATATAACTGTAGCTCTAATCGCAGCTACCTCACGGATATTCATATCTTAAGCCGTCCGATGCGACGGTGTTTCTGCTTTGGGCTACAATCATGATAGCTTGTATCGGGATGCGATTTGCACGGAGCTACTTACATTTAATGCCCGCTATTCACAGGCAAAGCGCCGGAGTACGTAGCGCGCACGCTTGCACGTTCGTCACTACAGCGATTACAAAATTCAACTTATTTCCTACTGCGAGTTAGTTTCCACCGGTAACCGATGCCACGCTGAGTGTTATGCAAAACCTGGATTTAAATGATTATCCTGATAGATTCTCACGTAAAGCCAACTTCAGGAACAAATAATCCCTGCGTCTTAATTATTACGAGCGCGGCCCTGCAACGGTGCTGCCGCCTGGCGCAAACAAACAAGGCTAGGAACTAATCCCGAAACACAGTAGCTATGACGTCGCAGCTTACTCGAAAATTACTCACAGATGTCGTATACGCCCGTGTCGCTGTCGCTGATGCGAGTGTCATCCACTCATCCTGATATCGAAAATTCACTAAATTGCCAGAGCCAGCGTAGCTATACATATAGGAATTTGAACATACGAGCACGCTTGGCTGACTATCGAGCAGCCAGGAAACTTTGTGATATCGTTCGGCTTTTGAAGCTGCTCAATAGGGTTAAATGAGTGTGGGATTTTTAAAAGTTCGGTACATACGTACTTTCGGCCCGATAATACTGTTTCCCTAAAAAGTGTGCTGGACAATTTCCGTCGTACAGATTTATTCCTGGATTTGTATTCATCATGCATCGTGTGTCCAGTTGAATATTTCAAGTCTTTCATATATGAAATGATATATATATATATTCATCCGTGCGTCCACACGTACAAATACTCGATTACTCCCCGTTAATAAGGAGTAGGTAAAATCGAAAGTCCTTTTAAAAAATGCGATTTTTAAGGCAGAGAGAAACAAATATTCTTTTAAGAATGGCCCGCAACATTCGAAGGAACTCAAAATTACGTTAGGATGCTCGTTCAATAGTAGGAATGTCAATGTGCCCCTGCTAATGTTAATTCAGCTTCCTCTTCGCAGGAGCGCTTATTGGAGCCATCCGCCAGGAGTCGAATGCATCAGGGAAGCTACCGTTCCTCTGGTTCTTGCTCGTTATCCCGAAGATTTAAGTTTTCGAAGGAAACAGCTGCAAGCAGAAAGTCTTGACAATTTATTTACTAAGTTTATTTAAGCTGAGCAAAATAAAATGTTTACCTCTTCTTTTTATTTTTTTTTTTTTTAAAGAATATTTCTACAAAATAATTAGAGATTAATTAAAGCGATTTTTCGTTAAACTCGGAGGTCTAAAAATACTTGGCGAAATATTTTTGAAAATTGATCACGAATATATCATAAGTTGTAATCTATAAAGACGTAAATAAAAAAATATATTGACGGCTTATTCTATGATGCGTGAATTTAGCTGAGCAGAATAATTGTAATATCACCGAAGGAGCGTATGGAGGGTTAAATAAGTGCGTAGAGTCCTTCATTGTTTACTCTCGTTTCTTTCTTCTTCTTTTAGTTGCCGTAGTGCTGGCCTTCTTTATATGCTGGGCGCCTTTTCACGTGCAGCGACTTATCGCCATCTATGGGACCAACTCGGCAGACCATATTAATTCCAACAGTCCTTGGATGGAATTTCTTTACCTTTTATTTACCTACGTGTCCGGCGTCTTATACTACGTTTCGACCACCATCAATCCGATCCTCTACAACATCATGTCCAACAAGTTCCGAGAAGCGTTCATGGTGAGCTTTCGTTTAAGAAACGATTTCAAGCTGAACGTTGTACTTACAATTAGACTTTCAAAGCGAAATGCCCACTTTTTCCTATTACTCATTCGGCGTATGTCTATATCGAAAATATCTATATCGTGTTATTCGATTCGACCGAAAATGTTTATACAGCCATTCGCACGCAGGCACGCACACCCACGACAACAGCATAGCTCATAATTGATAACTCCAACTGTATTTGACTTTAGGAAACGCTGGCGAGATGCTGCAGAGCGACCAGATTTTCCAGTCAGCGAGAGCAACGTTCGTATTCGAGTTTATCGCGCTCGCAGCAGCGCGGAGCAGCTGGGATCTTCGGACGCAGGAACGCCGAAACAGGCGGAGCTCAAGAGAGCACGGACTGGTCAGGTAATTCCGTACGAGAGGAGAGCAGCCGAGCAGGAACAGGAATAGTGGTCTGCGCCGAGCCTGGCTCCTCCGACCTGCCAGGAGGTCAGGCCTTGCCCACGTGCGCCGGCCGGCAAGCAGCAGTGCCATCTATGCGTAGAACCTTCTCTGGCGAAATCGGCGCCACCGATACCACCAGTGCCTCGCTTTCCGGTCAGTCGAGTCGCAGGATTCTGCCTTTACAGGAACGCACCAACGACCAGCAGTCGCGTCCAATTTGCGCAGCTCGACCGGCAAACGGGCTGGGGATACGAAACATTTCCTACATGGACGAAGGGCTTCAGGCGCAGGGAGTCGGAGTCAGGAGGTACGGTGGAAGCAGGAATAATGGATACGACCCTTCGCGGAAGTGGTGGACTCTTTTCGGCTGGTTGGCCAGGAGGAAGTCGTCGCTGGAGTCATCGGCCGGAAAATTGACTTGCACGATTCCAACCGGGATCGATGAGAATCGCGAGGAGTACTCGATGACAGCCTGCAACATTAGCAACAGCAGCTTGAGAGACGTGGACGCCAGTCTGATGGACGACGAACTCTCGGCCTACATGAACGAGATTCGCATCAAGGAGCTACGTGGCCAGCAGAAAATGTCCGACAACGGTTAGGTGCTCTCTGACTGTTATCCCGGATCGGGGTATCTTGGATGGGGATATCTGTTTCCACTTTTGAGCCTCCCGTCGCTCGGCGCTGCCTTGCTTCCCTCTGTGAGACGATAAGACTAACGAGGCAATGAGTAATAAGAATCTCGCTCGATGACATTCTTCATACTTTGGTACAAGAACATTCGACATATCCGGTTGAGCTGCCTCGCGTTTCTGTATTCGAATGCATTAACAATGTCTCGAGTAACTGTACAGAAAAGCTCAGCCGTCGAGCCGATAACGGAAAGATTCAAAGATACTACGTGGGTCACGTGCGACTGTCGCTAATGGCGACTTCCTGTTTCAAGATCCTTCGCGCAGCTTCCCATTGAAAGCGTCGCATGATGCAACCAAGGAAAACAATGAAGAAAAAGATGTGTTCGCAATGCGCGGTTCTCGTGGACACGAAGCTTTATACTCGGAGTAGCTAACCTAATCTTAATGGACCTTAAGATTTTTAAGACATTTAACGCACGTATACGTTACATTTATATGCTAAATTTCGACTTGGATGAGAATTCGATTTTTTTTTTCCATTTTTATTGCCAATACGTTAAAGCACATTGTCAGACATTAAATGAAATTTCCTAGCTGCGTTCCAAAAATATTCCACGTCTGACAGAGATACAATTATTACCCAGAGTAATATTATCTTGCGAGTTTTATTATCAAAACTTGACATTGGTACAAATTTGGAACGGAGGTAGAGATTACGTGTTTAGAAGAAATAAATAAAAACACTTTGTACGCTCCAATTATTTCGATTGCTCTCCACGTCGCCTTGCAAGTCTCTTTTCTTTTTCTATTTCTAGGTCTGTAAATAATAATCGGAAGTTACAAAAGTTGCTGCAAAAATTTGCACAGAAACTATTGTGGACCAACGACGTGCAATATCCATCATCGGCGTCATCGAACTTTGAATTAAACCGATCTGCCGATCGACGGGTAAATAGTCCAGGGCCGTCTTACACTCACCTACCCTCCGCATCGATTCGTTTTGCTCGGCCCAAAGAATCCCTGTCGCCCATTTCTCAGCCATTCTATAAATCCTGCATAGACCATCGGTACTTATCGAGCCGAAGCTCTTTCGCTATTTGTCTTGAACTCGATTTTTACATGAGCCCGCAATCGCACCTTACGATTAAAATCAATAGAGAACATTGAGGCAGACCATTGAGAGCCCATTGACGGCGTCCCTTTATATTTATAGAACCACTGCTGCTGCTTTCGAGCAAACATTATAATTCTTTTATTAATTCAGCCCGTGCGAAGATTTTTGTTGCGTTTATTCATGTAGTTGAAATTTTAGCACACTACGATACAAACCTTAACCCGTAGGAACTTACTGCAAAACATTCCGCTGTGCACGGCCAGAGTCACGTGATAATTCCTTATACAGCAGTCCTAGAATTAGCAATTAAATGTAATTAGCTTTCTGAAAAATATCAATCTCAAAGTCTAGACTCCTTGTTCGTTTTCTTGTTCAGGAGCCAAAAACATATCGGATCCGAGCCCACGTTGATCTACAAAATGATCGAAAAATTTATTTTCGCCGAACCATATGATTTCTACGATTGCGGTTATCCCCCTAATATTTTCACATTCTTCCAAATTCAAGCCAACCCGAATTTAAATCTGCAAAACTATCCAAATATTTTCACAGCGAGATGCGTCAAGGCCCGGACCATTCGGCCAGCCACGTGGCCAACCAACGAACTACGGAAGAATCGACAATGTATTAATAGGACTTTGCGTTAAACTAACATATATAGCGATTAGCCCATTTTTCAAACAATCGTCTTTGCAATTTTTACAACTTTTTTTTTTTTTTAGTGGAAGCGTAAGATAGTGCTCGGACATTGGTCTTACGAAAAAAAAGCTTGATTACGTAACGCTCTGCAGGAACGTTACAAGAACGTAACCAGTCGTCTTGGCTCAAATAAGATTCACCGTGTGTTTTATGACATCGTACGAGCCGAGCCGTAAACGCCCGCCGACGTTATTTCCGCCTATTATCCGCGAGTCTTTATTTTCTACGCTAAGGCGACGAGCGGGTAGGTAAACGCAATAAACGTCGGCTGAAATTTGGCCTCGACACTTTAATTAATAAACCATAGCAGGCCAGACCTAATAAGGCTTCGATCAGTTCTTGCACGATCTTTCAGTGCAAATTTTGCCGACGTTCATTGACATACTAGGCAAACTAATAGACGGCAAATATGATTATCCTTTTTCATGGAGCCAGACGTGCCGTATTCTCGACCAACCTAAGTTTGGGTCTAAGCTTGACGATGCGGCCTCGATAAGGTCCTCATAACTTGGAGTAACTACGACATGAAAGTTGAAACAACGTTTAATTTTCTGATATAATAAAAGTGAAGCCCGATACGTGCAGGATGCGTCCGTAGGAACCGGAGACTTGGCTACTCGGAAGAAATCCGAGAGGTAAGTAACCATAGGCACATAAATGGACTCGCAATGGCGTACAGGTATTCGCGTTACGATTAAGAAGGCAACAGGAGATAATGCTCGGCATCCGATAACGATGGGTTATCATTAGTAACATTAGGGTGGACGTTGTCGGGCATCCCGACACAAAAGAGAGCAAGTAGAGACAATGGGAAAGGGCACGAGCCATGTGTACGCACACGTGTATTGTCACCGGATATAATTTTCGATAATACCAAAGAGCGGCTTAGCATAACCTAACATAACATTGACGTCAAATCCTGTGGCAGTATAATCTCCAAATACGAGATAATGCACGATAGTGGCTTTTAATTTTGGCCTTTTTTTTATCAGGCTACAAACCAGACGTATGTAACATATGTATACGTATATGTATGTTTTTTCATGGATAATCGATAACGTAAGTCTTTACGATTGGCCAACTGCTACGCTGTTTTCTTGCATGAGAAGCCAAATAAAAATTTCGACAGGCACGCGAGCCCTGCGGTTTCCTTCTTCTCCGTAGACAACGGGAGATGCTCGAGACACCGATCGGAATTTCAAATGTTTTCTATCCTATATTCCTCTCCAGCTCGGAATATGTATAAGTCATACGTACTTAAAGGGGCCAATATCTTTTAGATAGGCATATACATAAATAAGGAGTCGGAGCATTTGTTTATTTCGTCGCAACATTTATTTCACTATTATAAGAATGCTGTGTTTAACACGGCAAATATGAAACAAAAACGAGCCCATTAAGTAACATGGTCGCAATGAGCGCCTTTGGTGATTCTGTTAGCCCTATATCTGTGTACAGATATTTTTTCGAGAAAAATCTATTGTATGGTATATCAATAAATTTATCTACTGTAGAAGCTAGCATGATTTAATACTATACATACGTAACGACGCGCTATCTTAACCATGTGGTATAAATATTTAAAATATAAATATTACAAGCGACTAAATAAATAATACAATTAATTAAGTCTGCCATAAGACTGACAATTAGGACGAGTCATTGCGGATCTTCGTACGCGGCCTCATTCGCTTTCCCAATGTTGTGGACGAAACCGTTTTCGGAAATCTATATAAACAGAGACAACAATTAGTCATATGTAATAAAAAGCAAAGCATTGAGGAATTTCTCGTGAACGTCTATGAAGCCGGTATTTTATACGAGCGAGTCAGCTGTGTTCCATTGAACTGCATTCGCAAACGAAGCAAGCGTAGACAATAATCTGCTATTTCATGACGTTCACTAACCACAATGACAGACATATCGTTAAATACACGTCTTTTTCCATTTTGAATATGACTCAACCGTTACTCCTCGGAATATCTGACTGCCACCTGACACAACGGTATTCGTGATTTAACGATCCGTGACTCTACGTGTGCCATAGAACGAACTACATGTAGAGTATCAGAAAATGAAAAATATTAGACAGTTTAAAAAGCTAGTATAAAATACCTGTATCCTCGCAGAGGAGTCTCGGTGCTTCCGGTGGCTCCGCCCATCTCGCATGTGATCCTGCCATAGCAATCACGACCATTTACAGCCTCAGCGGCGACCTTAGTGAGCTGAAGGAACTCGTCCTGAACGTTTCTCGAGGTGAAACCTCCAAGTCGGGGCAGGAAGAGGACACCGATCATAAAGAGGAGTGCCATGCCGATGAAGCTGCTGATTGCTACGAAGAGCGGATTTGCCATTTGCTTCTCCGAACTTTCAGCGACGTTCACCTTTTCCGGTAGCGCATCGCGCTGCAACATAATCATAATCAAAATCACACGTCCTGGCACATATCTTTGTGCTCTCTCCTTCTTCTTTCCCATGGAAAAGGAATAAACGAATTTACGAAGGACTCACTATTGTCTTGTAACCGTGCACGTCCCGCAGTTCATTCATAAATGTCTTCAGGGGATAAAAGTAGTAATAATAGCCTGCATGGCCTGCTGGCAGTTGGAGCTGGCCCGTGGAAGCCTGGGGCACCTTTCTAGGAGACAGGGAGCTCGTCAAGCCCGTCAAACTCACTGCCGATCCTTTCTCCAAAGCATCTCTGTACATGCCTGCCAGCTGAGATCTAGTAAAACCCAATGCTTGAGGCACTTCGATTGGAGATGGAATCTTGGTTTGATCTGCCGGTATCTGTAACAAATTGAATATATCGTATATTGGGCTTAGTTTTAGTGTTAGGAAGATCTTATATCCGTGCAATGATGCATTTAAATAAGGCTCAAGTATGGAAATTGAAAACATGATCCTTAAAGACTATCTCGACTAAAGGCAACTTCTCCCTGATATCATACGAAGCGAAATATTCTTTTGAAGAAACGATTATAATTGGGGTAAAGAGGGCCTCCAATTCCTAACAGGGGAATCTTTACCATAGTTGGCTCCAAATCGCTACTCGGCGAGCCGGCATTGGCCAAGTCAGAAACAGGGATACTAGTGCTCTCCTTTTTTTATCTCTGACAATTTTTACACGGTTAGAATGAGACGGTTTTCTTAGAAGGTCAATAACTCGGACATTTACTATTATATATTTTGACCGTGTAATTTATATCACATTTCAAATATTTTCATTGTACAAATCCACTCTCTGTGTTCGTTAGGTGGAATAACCTGGTTTTGACTTTTGACGTTTTATATTGTTGTAAAATGGAATGCTGCAAAATGAAAACGTATTGCCATTAGAAAGCCTGGTAAAGGAACGAATATTGTTGAAACTCATTATTTTAAATTTAAACGAGAGTCCGGTGCTAAAATACTATTTTAATTAGTTAATAATTTGTATAAAATCTTTGCTATGGAAAAATTGATTCAACTGTTGCGCACTGAAAAAATAAATGACAAAATTCAAATTCAGATCACACGATTTCGCGATTACGCGAACAGTAGAACGGTGAATTCTTTTCTTTTTCTCTTTTGTCACATCCTTAGTTGATTTGTATGCGATCGGCATCTTGAAGAGTCCAGTTAAGCCACTAGCTCTGATCCGCGAACCGTCATGTGCTTTATAGTTTCAATTTTCTGCGACCGCGTCCAAAGCAAAAAAAATGTACGTGAAATGTAATAATTTAAAAATTTTGAAATTTTACACCAATTTCAATTGCACGCAATTACACAAGAACTTGATTACAAATGAGTCTTCATTTTATTTAGATGATCTTATCGCACCTCTACAGAAAAATGTAAAAATACCTTTTTGTGTCTCAATCAATCATCCCAAGTTATTACATACCAAGAATCTTCAAGATGCAAGAAACATTCATCTTACCGTAAAGTAATGGGGAGATGATTCTAGATAAACCTGATCAACACCGCGAATGTCCGTGGCCGCTGGTATTTTTTCCTCCTTGTCACTAGAACACGGATACTGATAATGAACCTGATGGACATGTGGGTGAAATTTATCCCGATAAGAGGACGTTTGGTCCAGGTTCTGAATGTATTTAGTCTCGGCGACATTTCCCGTGTTACGGTCCGTATCAGCTGACGCAACGGAGACGCTATTAATTTCTTGAAGTTCGTTCATCACATTTCGTAAATATTGAGCACTAGTTTCCGTGCTCGTGTGCTGACTATCGACAAGAATCAACGATACAGTAAGTGTCACGCTCAGCCAAAATTTCGACCCCCTGCACTTAACAGTCATCTTGTATTTCTCTTACTTTTTGAGCACCTTTATTTTATCGTTTCTTGTATTTCGGCGTCTTCCGCGTTGGTTACACCAGACACTAAACTTTTGCGTACTCTCAACTTTACCGAATCAGAGTACCATTTTTTTTTAATTTAAAAAAGATATAGTCACTTATTTATACTGAGTTCTTCGTTGAGGTGGTATCGCTTCTCTTTCCTTATTCTCATTCCGATATAAGACCGTAGCCAGATCACTAGGAACAAGTGTCTCGTCTCTTGCGCGTTCTCATGTTGTTAGGGTAAAATGCGACAACTTCGGAAATTTTTACTCCTGCCAAAGCAAAACGTAAAGATTGTATTAACCGGTTTTACGGAAAATGAAAAAAAAATAGTCGCGCCACTTTTTCCGTCGACGCAAATACAATTACCGAAAGCGGTCCCAGTGCATGGGGAAGACAGTACCGTCCACGTTCGCGTGTGCTGCTGAACAAGTATCGAAGAAGGGACTGAGTAGAGAAACTGGAACAGCTTTCGGGGCCAGTTGATTCCCCATCCTTTCCTTCTTTCATTAAGAATCCCCGCGTAGAAGGAAAAATTGCCGTTGGCTACTAGAAGGCTGCCTGAGTACACCTGTAATTTATGAATATATCTTCATTAAAATTTGGAAATAATAAGCGATACCTGGACAGTTTTTTAAATAATTGCATACAATGAAATTATCACACGGATAAGTGTACGGTGAATGGAAATATACCTATGTAGTACTGTCAAAATAATCCTATTTAGTTGTCAGCATCCGTGACGCCCTCCTGCCCATTCTTTTTTTAATTCTGCAATTAATGTAATGCCTATACTCTCAATTTACAAAAAGAAATGTCACAGTACCGAAGAGGTGTTTTATTTTCTATACCGATTGCTAAAGATTGACCCAAAGCCATACAGACCTTCATTAAACGCTGCGTCGTTGCTCCTAGTTTTTTTTTATGGGTCGCACAGTGGGCCTACCCTGTAATGGCGAGAAATCAGAAGAGCAGTACGTATACCCACAGTAACCTGCGATGAATGTATGGCACCGAGATGTTGGTAAAGAGGGTCAGCCCCGATATATTCTGTCTGAAACGAACTATACGGCATTTTAACCTCCTCCAGAACTTGTATGCTGGTTCCAGGATATCTCCCGGGCCAACTATACCCGCTAGTTGTCAAACACAAAATCCTCTAAGGCTGGTTCTCTATTATTATCTCCTTAGTAGCGTATGCATGGATCCATGTAAAAAAAATATATATAGAGTATATAATATATATAGTCTTAGATATGAAATTGAGCATATAATTATATTTCCGTATACACTCTATCTAATTCATGGTGATATCACCGGAATTACGGATCGCTAGTCAGGACCTGCAAAGTGTGTCGTCACGCGAGAATCTCTGGTCGAGGATCCTCGAGGTTTTCCGTAACCATTAATGTCAAGCGAAATAACGATGCGGATATTAAACGTATTTATTAACGGTGACCTAGGTTCTCGGTGTCTACGTCCATATTCACGATTCAGCTGTATTACTCCTTATTTTATAAAATGTTTACTGAAACTAGATCGGAGTACTCGTAGGAGGAGGGATTTCTTACCAACGTGTTTTTGGAAATTGTCCATCCGCTTGGCCGCTTTTACTTCTTACGTATTTCGTACACAAAGAAAGGAGAGTCACGGTATAAGTGTTCCTAGGGCTGCTTAACATGTTGAACGCCACGTCACCCATGTGAGATGGTGAGATGCCTTTTCCATTATTTCAAGCTCTGTCCGGTTTACGTAGCCCGCAACACGTATTCTTTTTGTAGATGTACCTCGCGGATTTCTTCGAATTATTGTATGCTTCTTTGTATTGTATCATTGTATTCATTGTATTCTATGATTCACGTTGGGCGTTCAACGGGTGGGCCCCGGGATTCATGCTGGGCGTTCAACGTGTTAAAGAACATTGACTACGTTTATACGACAGTCTTAAACCGGCTCAATTAATACTGATCTAAAGGAATTGACAAATCAAATCTTTTTACTTGTAAGGAATATTTGGGATTGGTCAATTCCTTTAGATCAGTATTAACTAAACTGATTTAAGACCTTCATGTAAACGTAATCATTAAGTATGTTTACACTAAGGTTTACACGCACGAGTTTTAGAAAGTAATAATCCATCACGTTGAGTTATTCTATTTAAACTTAATAGGTAATTACTTAATTCCCTGTTTAAACAAGAGCGTGAGTCATGAGTCGTACGAATAATACGATCAGACCACTGGTTGCCCAAAACTCGGTACGTACAATATTTAACAATCAAGAGTATAGTTTCTTCTAGTTTCCCCACTAGTCGCAGCTACTCATCTATTGTACTTGTGCATATGGATGGACATACATGCATGCATCCATACAGCTCATGTTTTGTAGGACGGTGCGAATCAACCATTGTGCGCGCGTCGCAACAGACGCGCCCCTAGTCATCTAAGCTAACATTACAATGTGTCAGGAGTTATTCCACGTTGACGGTCGGCCAGGTAGAAAATTCGTAACTTCTCTAGCGCACTCTACCGTAACTCTATGTTATTATCCTTGCTGGTATCGCGTTGCAGTCAACGGGGTTTTAATCCCTTGGTAAAAGAGGGACTATAGGCACCTTCCCAGCTTCGACCAACTATACTAGTATTCGAGAGCACAAGTCCACATCAGTCAGACCATAATATGCGATACTGGATAATCTAACTGTGTCGCAAGCATTGCTCCCGTGCTTCTCGTATAGATTCGTGGAAAGTGTCATTGTCAAAGTGCTAAAGAATATCAGGGATTAATAGGGAGGTGTGAATTGACAAGTGTATTTCGTCGTACGGATTATAATGGAGTGACAGCCAGTAGCAGTATTTTTGAGGGCTTAAAAAGGACGAAGTCAGAGTGACGTTAGTACGTTTCTCGGTGCGTTTTTAACGCGATCCACGCGCTGTTCCTGTGACGTGTAAACTTTATGGCTGAATATGTAGTCAAACGTCTGTAGGTCGGTGTTCGTTTCTCTATATTTGTGAGTAAATAATGGCGCATTCGAGCGCCGCCGATATCCTATAAAATTAAGACGGGTCCTTGTCGTCACTTGTCGATTATTAATCGTTAGTTACCTTTTCTGTACCGAGCAACGGTACTCAGAGGCCCAGTTTCATGCCTTCGATTGCCTTCTGTGAGCGGCTTAAGGCTCCATAAATACCTAAGGGCACCGTGCGTATCCGTGTCACACCCGTGTCCGCTCGTGTCAATTGGGCCAGCTGATTGGTGCTATCCGTCTCTGGTGCTGTTCTCAGTTCTTTGAGCCGTGCAGGTGCTACGTGCCAGTTTGGCGTTCGATGATCCCTTGTTTATCAATAAATTCTATGCAATAATTCGGTTTCGCAATTTATCGTTTAGGCAGTCTCCCTTGTTGGATTTCTCTGTCCATTGTGCATGACTGTAGGTTTACAAATGCTTTTGCTCTAACGAAATTGTCTTATATACATTTCTATATTGAGATACCTGTCATCGGATTATCATGATTCTTTATCAATGATAAGCCGAAAAACCTTAGTAATTCTGTTATTGCGTTTGTTATACCAACTCGTATTAATACTTTCGTTAACGTAAGTTATGTGTTTTACATGAATTTATAACATGCTGTTGTACTTGGTTGTATTATGTTATTTACATATGGGCATGTAAAACACACTGTTGCACACTTAATTAGCCTATCTGATATTTATATCATTGTTGTACGAACCTTGAGTGTTTCCTCGATAGTTTGTGATTTATTATATTCCGATATACGTGAATTATTTCACCGAAAGTTTCAATACAATGTTACTATGCCTAAAACAATGTTGATGAAATTTCATTCCTACTGGATAAGGTATGGAATGGGAGAAAGATGATGTATTTTATTGATCTTATTAGACATCGGTGTTAATTACGTATGTTGAAAATAATGGAATTACATATTGTCGGGAATACTGCAAGATTTGTCGTCTATCTGGTTATGTTAGTTTTTTGTTGTGTGTATGTATATATATATATATATATCCTATATTGATAGAACAAGTATGTTGCGTATTATGATTATAAAGTTTCTCAACGTTCACAGTTAATATAAAACTTCGATTTAGTTATGTTAGTTTTTTGTTGTGTGTATGGATGATGTATTTTATTGATCTTATTAGACATCGGTGTTAATTACGTATGTTGAAAATAATGGAATTACATATTGTCGGGAATACTGCAAGATTTGTCGTCTATCTGGTTATGTTAGTTTTTTGTTGTGTGTATGTATATATATATATATATATATCCTATATTGATAGAACAAGTATGTTGCGTATTATGATTATAAAGTTTCTCAACGTTCACAGTTAATATAAAACTTCGATTTACATGTTTTATATATATATATATTTCTTTTTAATTTTTATAAATGGTGCACCTAATTTTGTTTTTTATTATATATCTTATTTTTTTGTTCTAGAAAGCTAGTAAAATGCTATGGCTGCCTCGAGGTTGCATAACACCGAGGAAGATTTGAATGGAGAATCTGGATCAGAAGCTAGTAGTATCTACCAGTCTGGTTCTGTTATTTCAACTGTACCTGATAGACATGGATTCCTGGGAGGTTCTCAATATAGTCCTGAACGGTACGCAAACAATAAACGTATTAAGGATCCGCATCACAAGCCAATTACTACATAATTATAGAACTCTTTTTCTGATAAAGTTTCTAGTAAATAGAAGTGTATAATTACGATTCAATGATGCATTTTTTTTCTCAGAAAACAAGCTATACCACCGGAGGTGATATTGCGACGCGAGAGAAAATGGATAAGAATGTTAAACAATTGGAATGTTTTTATGACAACAAATTATCGTAAAGTGCGAGAAAGATGTCGAAAAGGTATACCGCCATCAGTGAGACTGCGAGCATGGCTCAATCTCTGCGGTGGTGAACTTTTAATGAAAGAAAATCCAAATCTCTACGAGGAGTTATTAATGAGACCAGGAGATCCAAAGTATATAGAAGATATAAAAAAAGATCTTCATCGACAATTCCCTCATCATGAGATGTTCGTTGAGAACGCTCCTGGACAGCAGGAACTATTTCAAGTGCTGAAGGCATATTCGATACTGAACAGCAAAGTGGGTTACTGCCAGGCTCAAGCACCAATTGCTGCATTTTTATTGATGCATATGCCAGCCATACAGGCCTTCTGGTGTCTTGTTGCTGTCTGTGACAAGTATCTTGTGGGATACTATAGTCAAGAGATGGAAACGTTGCAGCGTGATGGCGATATTCTCTTTGCTTTGTTGAAGAGAGTTTCTCCAGTCGCATATAAACACTTGGTAAGCACCTCTTAGGTGACACGATAATAATGAAATAATATGTAGTAGATCAGGACAGCCAAACAAGTTTCATACATTTGTCTTTCTTTGTGCAATATACTTTATTCGTCAAAACTATGGAAGATAAACTTATAAATTTAAGTTTACGGACTCGTGCACTCAGATCTCCATAATGTAATAGTACAAGCTCGCATGTACAGTCGCAAATTTAATTGAGGCACTCTCAAGATGTCAAACTCCTTATGGTACACTGTTCATATATTTGTCAATAAGTATCATGATAGTCTGTTGATATGAAGTCGAATATACATATATATGTATATATATTACAGAGGGGCGTCCTTCTCAATTTCATGAGTGACGAGTCTCATTAGACTTATCTAATAAAAACCTGATGCGGTTTTTTTACTACGAAACGCTTACTGGCTCTTATCATATTAGCATCAATAGAATGAACAGCTCTTTTAAAAAACATCATATATCAGTACTGTCATATGACTCTCATCTTCTATGATTTCTTATAGTTTGTAATATGGCGATTCACTCTAATTGTCAAGTGATAAAGCGAACCCCATTTGAATCGCATGGATGAATAGAAATTCCTTAATTTTCTTTTCATTTGAATGTATAGAATGTCCATTTGTCAGCTAGCTTGGATGGAAATTGATGGATTTATAAGCGAACGCCAAATCACGCAGGCAGCAGTATGGCTCCATGAGGTTAAGATGGTTCTTTCGACGAACAATACGATTCGAAGGTTTCCTTTAGCGAGCTGATTATTACTTACACTATGCAGAATTGTATTTGTTTTTAGTGCATTTTCATATTCTTACAATCGCCGCTTTCATACGCTCACCAATCATTGGCAATTACGCTTTATAAAGAATTTTTGTTGAAGTTTTCTTATTTTTCTTGAGAGTAATTCTTTTTTAACGTTAAATGTGAGAGTTAATAATCGTCATGCTATTAAACTGATTGACACAGAAAAAGCAAAAGATGGAACCGATTCTCTACATGACCGAATGGTTCCTATGCGTATACACAAGGACATTGCCATGGGAAAGTATTCTACGGGTCTGGGACATGTTCCTCTGTGAGGGCGTCAAGGTCATCTTCAAGGTCGGGCTGGTCCTGCTCAAATGTTGCCTGGGTCGTACGTCGCTTACGAAACGCTGTCCGACAATGTACGAGACCCTTCAAGTATTACGAAATCCTCCTCATCAGATCATGGAAGAGGAGGCGTTGGTGTACCAGGTACATTTTTAAAAAACTATTGTAAACTATTTGCTGAAAGTGCGATTATTTAATCGTACGTCAAATGTTATAAACTTCGCTGTAACATTGTAGATACAGAGACTGAATTTGAGCGAGGAAGACTTCGAATACGAACATCAGCGACAGACGTTAAGAAGAAAAGCAAAGGATCAAGCGTCTCTACCAACTGCCAATGGAAACAACTGATGAAAAAGATGGTAGCTGATAATTTACAACGTTTGAAATAAAGAAATAAGAAAGAGAAGAAAATAAAAGAATGTGTCGTTACAAGCTGTGCCTTTTCTCAAAAATATATTGGACGACAATGCGTAGACTGTGCGCAATCTACTAAGTATAATATTGGAGGATGAGTAATGCATTCATGATGAGAAGGCAATAAAATGGCAAAATGGTGTATGCACGTATTATACATTTTTCGAATAGGTTTTCCTACCATTCTATTTACCTTCCCCCCTCCCCCCAACTATTTTAACTCACGTCGTACAGCTAATGTTAACGAAGCACAACTTTTGTACGAACTGCACAGTACTATTTAGCACAGTAGAATATATTTAAAAACAGAGATAACTACGATATATACTTCATCGTCAGTATTTATGTATAAAAAAGGCTCTTGTATATTGTACTGTATTTTTTAATATAGAAAATATTGTATAACAATGTTATCAAATAAATTAACACACTGTTGCTATCGTTTTTTGATTCAAATACTTTACATTTTAAGTACTGTAGGTTGTGTTTTATGAATTTTTGAAGGTTCCGGTACATATTAGCAGTGATGCTTGCATATTTAAGTTGTATTACACTGCACTTTAATTTAAAAAAAAAATACTAGATCACATGGTTGCAGTCATGAATGACAAACTCGTTTTTTGCCGAATCGGCGCCTATTTGTTGCTTGAAAATAATAAATTAATTCAATTCTTGTGTATTTCCACGCTTTATGTATGTATGTATGTTAGCATATAAAATGACGGGGATCCTTAATTTGAAATTTTCAATACCGTACGTATACCTCCGTTCTTCGGTAATACAATATACAAGAGACTCTGTATAACAAGAGAAAACAAAAAAGTTAATGTTTTTTCTGCTGCCTCTTGGATGACGCTTGTTTTGGGCTACTGGAACTTTGACCAAGAACAATTCGACCTGCTGCAATTTCGTCTCTATCGGCCGAGTTTTCAATTAGTCTCTGCGCCTCGAGGAAGAACATTAGGTCCCTTATTTGCTCCCGTAAATCTGTTAACTCGACCTCCTTCGCATCTTTATAGTTGCATAATTCATCCTGAAGCTGCTTGTGTTTTGTTTGCCATGATGTCTGATTTAACTGGAGGGCCTGCCGCAATTCCTTCTCCTCAGACAATTCTGCCTGTGCTTGAGCCAGTTTTGAATTAGCATTCTGCAACCGCTTTTCTAACGATTGTTTTTCACGTGTTAATATCGAAAATTGTTTCTGCACAAAAATAACAAAAGCAAGTTTACGTAAAAATGAAATTTGCAGGGCTAGTAATACATTACACTTATATGAAAGTCGTGCATGGCTCTACGTTTACCTTAAATTCAGCATTTTCGTCCAGCATCTGGCTCAACTTATCACGCAATTCAGTGGTCTCTGAAATGGTGCGCTGTTCTAGGCGACCTAGTCGCTCCTCGAAATACTGTCGCTGTGTTTCGAGTTGGGATGTTAGAAGATACGTGAATTCAAGTTGCACAGAGTCGACTTTTTCGTCCATAGTAGCTCCTTCACTCTTACTGGCCTCCCGGCCGCCCTCCACCATTTTACCATCCTTGTCCTGTAAGAGGCGATGAACGAAGTTGTCGCCCACGTAGTCCCAAACGCGATTGTTTCCTAGTTGCATGGCATAACAATGATGCGTGTCCTGATAGTGGTCGAATGCATGACCCTTGTGATAACGTGAGCAACCGATGTGACCGCAGATCAAACAAATCCAGAGGGCGTCGTTGCTAGCACCTGCAACTGCAGAATCTAAATTCCACCGTATACAAAATACTTTATTGGCTAATAAAAACGCAAACTGAGACTTTTTCTTTTACGTTTCCCCTTCCATTTTTTATTACAGAACATGAAATATGCTTTAATATAAAAAAATGCCAAAGAAATATATTTTTAATGATATCAAAAAACGCACCGCACTCCATACAATGGCTGTCCGCCAGTGGCTCTGGTGTTTGTGCATAGCGACATACTGGACAAGAAGTGTCGCCCCATTTTACTAGACAACTCGAGTGAAACGTGTGGTTACACAAGATCGTGAGGATCCCATCTACGCTCTCATCCATTCTTTCCAAGCACACAGGACAAGATGGTAATTCTGTGTGTCCAGCCAACGACAGACCATTGTCACCGACTTCTACTTTGGATACAAAGACCATATGACAGACGATATCTGGTTCAAGAGAATTGTACGGTACGCCATTGAATGACTCATAGAATTCGCTTGCTGCTACCTGCAATAAATATATTGTTGTCGTACTGTCAATCAAGTTGTTTGGTTACCTTATCGATATACTGTTTTTCTGTACATACTGCAGATCGGAAGGTTATCAGGGCCATATACTGATTAGGACTACCATCTCTGAGAATTCTAAAATGCTGTATATCTTGATGACAAGCTGCAGTGAAAGTGAGAAGGTCATGGCATGTCATCGTCGCAGGAACAGAGAGAATACAAATTGTATGACTTCTAGTAGCTGCACAATGCATTTCAGTTAGCTCACTGCAACAAAAATGAAAAACATATGTCTATTGAAACATAGTGCTAAAGTGTATTTTTAAATAAACTATTTTCCTTACTCCTCTTTAAAGAGATGCAAAATTCCTTTAGTAATTTCCACAAAGGGACTGCCTGAGAAGAAGTTTATTTGATCAGGTGACGTGCGAGCAGCGGCTCCATCAGTCTCAGCAGCAGATGTAGATGATGAAGTAATTGTCATTTGAGAATATGATGATTCTTCTGAATTGGCTCGTGAATTTGAATGTGATTTGCTTGGCCCCTGAGATGATAATAACGGAGTTGGTCCTTCAGTGACATTGGCATAACTTTCCACCGTAATGTCTCTAGGTTCTCTGCAACCCCTCATTTTCCTTGCAGCCATTGAACCTAAAATAGTAGCCCAGCATCAATAAAATTGTAAGATTAACGCTTAAAGAATAAACGAGAAACAAAATGTTCACAATGTATCAAGATACAAATAAAGTTATTCGAAACATAAGATCTCGTGAGATTGTGTTGTTATTAATGTTAAATAGCATTGCTTCTGATAACATACTGGTAGCTTCTTCTAGATCGAAGTTGTTAATTTCAATGCGAATAACGCATAAAGATACCAAGATGGTTGAAGACATCACATACGATCTAAATCGTTGCACATTATTGCGAGCACATTGATCATCCTCAAATAGTTTGACAATCTTAAGCAAGTGTCAATTTACTTAAGAAACATAATAATAACAACCGATCAGTAAATCAGCTGACGATGTTTCAACATGTGCAACATATGCGACAAGAAGTTCCTAAACTATTTTGAATTATTCATTCGGCACTGGGACACCATCGAGACACGATACACAGTTATGTGCTTCAGGTGAATATTATACGAAAAGCAATAGCTTTTCCACCAATTCTAGAGTTCGCCTTCTTTAGAGTCCTCCATGTGATTGGCTGTACCAATTCCCTTGTCATGCTTCTCCATACCATCTGATGGCAGTTTCGACTCACTTCAGTCGGTGCGCAATGTGTAAGTAACTGAAATGTAGTGAAAATGCTAAAATGGAATAACTGTTAGCCAATCGCTGTGCTTTTCTTCTTTTGACCCTCACACGTGATTAGCTAACATATTCGTTTTTCGTATTTCACTACATTTGAGTTACACCAGAGATGATGATGATTTACACCTACTCATCTCTGGTTACACAATCACGTAACAGAATAATCACATTTTCTGTGGTATTAAGGTGCCTTCACAGATTTGATGGTCTAGTCGTACAAATCGAATACCTCGAGATAGCCAAATTTCCTATTAACTGAAATTTCCAAATAATAAATGTTGACCAATCAGGAGTCTGGATATTCTGAGTATTCCGTCTTGTCCTACTAGGTTCGTCAAACCATCTCTGGTCAAACTGCGAAGGCTCCTCAAAAGTCACAAGAGTCATCGCATATATTAGTACGCACCCATATGATATGCGCGCGCGAGTGGTTTCGTAGAGCGAGTTGTCAGAAGTGATATTGAAATATTTTTATTACACTTCACATAACGTCGTCGCATGTTCATTCAATTTGTATAAAGACCGTAGTCAGAATGCCGGTGAGCAATGCATGCCGAAGTATTATATATTTTGTTATCCTTAATGCTATCAGTTGTCACACCGGATTGGGTGTAACCTCCATTAGTCACACACATCTGCCAAACTATATATTATACAATAGTTTGTTATTTTTATAATATATTTTCATGAAATATAATAGACTGCTCTGGTTTATCTGTGCAGGCATATCATTCAAGCTTTTTAGAGATCAACCAAAGAATTGGTAATATGGCCCTTTTGCCTATTAAAACAAACTTTCGAGGCCCAGCCCCTATGTTTACCAATAAAGATCTTGATATCATAGATGAAGCACTTTATTATTTTAAAGCTAATGTTTTCTTCAGAACCTATGAGATTAAGGTAATATGTACCTTCCATGTGAAAAGATAGTTTCTTTTACTTTTTGGCAGTATACAAGATACAAATAAAAACATTCTTCTGCAGAGTGAGGCTGACAGAGTTTTAATCTATATAACTCTATTTATTACGGAATGCTTAAAGAAGCTTCAAAAGTGTGTAAATCAAAATCAAGCTGCGAATGAGATGTTTTCGTTAGCTATTTCAAATTTTGATATACCGGGTGATTCTGGTTTTCCATTGAATTCTGTATATGCCAAACCAGCTAATCCTACTGAAGCAGGTGAGAAGACAAATAATGGAAAGTCTTGCAAAAAAAGTATCAATGATTTTGTTTTAGATTTAATGAGACAATATCTACAACAAATTAGGCAAGAAACAGCAGCTAGGGTAGTGGGAAAAGTTTATGGTGAAGATGGCAAGCCAAGTAAATGGTGGCTGTGCTTTGCCAAGAAGAAATTCATGGATAAGTCCCTGTCTGGACCTGGTCAATAAAAAATATCCCACAAATACTGTTTTAATGTTTAAAATAATACTGTTTATAATTCAGAATTAATTACTGTGCACCTTTACAAATGTCCATTGTATGCAGTTTATACATAAAATATAAATATATATGTATTAATTTTTTGGCTTATTTATTAAAAATTCATTGGTGTATCACAACATGCAAGTCACAATGGTTTCAATAACACTTGATATTCTTCACAATGCTGTAAGAACTACATTGCTGAAGTTGTATTCAGTGCTGTATTATGCGTTTGTTTTCGATAATGAAGTGCTTCTTGATAAGCCTTCTTCACGGCTTTCCTGTCTGCCGGTTTGCGAGATTCGATTAACTTGCTGTCATCCAATTCCTGGGAAACACCCAGTTTCTCTAATTTCTCGCCAGGTAGCCACTGCCTGCGAGTGAAAAAAAATGTATTGCATTACTTAAACTAATGAAACCAGTAACTCGTTTCACCCCCTCTCTTCATATGGAAAAGAAAAACGAAATAATACCAGGTGCGTTTTGTATCAAAGAATAGAACAAGGAATACAGGCTCCTTGTAATTAACAGCAAGTGCGAGCACATCATCCGGTGGTGCTGGTATCGGCACTCCCTTGTGCACGGTGCCTCTGGGCGTATTGGGATCTATAATTAATGCCGGGTACCAAGGATAACCGCGACACTTAGCCCAAACGAGCTGTAGAGCTTCGAGACCGGTTTGGCTGTCATCCTCTTTTGCTGCCGTTGCCTCTTTTGAGTTATTTTTTTCCTGGGGCATATCTTCCATTTCACCCTCTACTTCTGGGCTGCTGGACCTACTTGTGGAGCAACTGCTGCAACTGGAGGATTGACTTTCACCTTCACCAACGTCGCTGTCCATTGTACCACTTCTGCAAGCCCATAATTTCATAGTCCTCTATGAATTACGCTAGAATTTCTTTTTATCTAATTGCGCGTTCGATTTTCACGTACCTATAGACACGAAAGCTATCACCCTGTTTTTTCTGATCACCTTCCAGAGTCGCTGGCTGTCCACTACGACTGGCACGAGCTCTGGCTTTTCTGGTAAATAAAACTGCTGTCCTTCTGTTGACACCACCACCGCCTACTTCCTTTTCGCTGATCTGACATTCCGATTCGCCGCGATTTCGATTTATCCTTTCTCGTTTCCGTGACTTTGAAGCGGCTTGTTCAATCTCTGCTGCAGGGTCCAGGTCGGGATAATCTTTGCGAGCTTGCTCTATCAAAGTGTTGCCTTGTTCACGCATCCTTACACCCGCCCGGTAGAACATTGTATCTTTCCGGTTGTATGCCAGGCAGTTGTTAACCATTAGATTAAAATCCGCTTCAAACGCCCCAATCGTTTCATATTCCCGTCTCTCTAATTTAGCCTGGGAATTAGAGATTTTTAAACCTAAGTAATAATATAAGGGTTTGACAATGTCTTGTTACCTCCATAGTAGAAAGGTCCATAGGATGGGAGACGATATCCAAATAATCAGGAACTTCTTTAATGTTTACTGGCTGCCCAAAGACGTCATTGGTATCTCTCGCTTTCAGAGCTTCCAACAGAGTACGCAACACACTTTCCAATGGTCGTAATTCAAACCATAAACATTTTTCTTTCCTATTTAAATAATTTTCGTCAATACAAGTGAGTAATGCATGCACTCCATTCTCTAAAATTTGTATAGGACATATGCAACGTACACTTTGAATAGTTCCTTTTTCAGTTTTTCTCGTTTACGCACTAATTCGCATAGCAATCGCGCGCGTTCTAAATCCTGTCGTAGACATTGCCAATATTTGAGCTGTCGATAGAGTTCGCCACGCAATTCGCTATCGGCGGCCGGAGATGCGTGATCACCAAGAGGGGGTGGACGCGAGTGTGGATGAGAACTTTGAAGTCTTCGAAGAAGAGGAACGCCATTTCGGTATTGACGCTTCAGCGTCCAGTAAGCTATTAACCGTTGAATCAATTGGCTTCTCTTTGGTAGTCCTTCAGCCAGACTGATCGTATTGCGAGGAAGAAAAAAAATTTAGCTTAGCATTGCAAAGATCGTGAAAGTGTAAAAAAATATATTTACCTAGCAATTTCGCGAATCCGTTCTGGAGGAATGGTAGGTATCGAGATAACTGGAGCCGAAGAACTCTTCTTGTTAGCAATAGCTCGTCTCCGAGCATCAGCCGGATTCGTAGATGGTTGATAATCCGGTGGTGTATGGGCCTCGCAATAGGCTGTCTTTTGGACGAGCATCGGTTCACCGTTCGCAGGTTGGACAGTACGCATACGCATGCAAAGACCAGCTTGCTGAGCGCACGTTACGTGAAAGGCAGCGTAGCAGTTGCTTTTGTGACATTGAATACAGGCACCGGCACCACGACGCTTGCAAACACAACAGGTAAGCCTCCACCGAGCTGCCGGAATACTTTCTATACTGTCTATTGGTTCGAGAAAGACGGTGTTTGCGAACCGTACTTCCGGTATCCAGAGTGCACAAACCACATGAGCCCACGTGGCAGACCTGTCGGTTTGCTTGAAGGCTCCACCCCTATTGGGGCAGAGTACGCAGTCGACTGCCTTGGATGGGCTTTGAAGACACCTCCTACAGAGCCACTGTCCCTCAGGGATATAAGGGACTCCATAGCAATCTTGATGTACTGCCAAGTTGCACATATCGCAGAACAGAATTGCATTACTGTTTTGACACTCGCCATCCATGCAAATACAACAAACAGCATCTTCGTCAGCCGCGGTACCGCCACCACCATTATTCTGTTGCTGAAAGTATGATTCTTTTTCAAGTCTGTCCATTAAAAGTTCGAAAGTATCCGGCTCCATTGGTGGTATTAGGCCGGATGCTACACGACGTTCATTCACCAGCATTAACCACGCGGAATCCTCTTCGTCGAGATCGTACTCCACTTCACCTAGAAAGAGACAATGTTAAAAACTAGTGTCATACATGAATCTCCTTCATTTTTTAAATGGCTTCAGTTAAATCTTTTTTTTGCAGTCTTTAATAGTATATTGAACAGCTGCACATTTAATGTTATTGCGGATTTTGAATGGTTATGTTGATTTCGTTTATTTCGAGATGTGAAGAAACGCTTAAAAGCTACCATACATACGACGTTCCTTAGCGATGACTTTGCAATCTGCACCTTACCATCAAGCTCCTCACCACTACGTTCCATAAATCTAACGTAGGAGTTGGGAAGAGGTTCTGCTTCGCCTATCTGTCCTTCATAGCCTTCTAATTCCTTGACCATTGCTACAGGCAACGAACTAAGTATTGCTTTGTCCTCTCTTTCTTTTTCAGCTGTAGCAACATTGGCTTTCTGATTTGTGTTCCTCAAATCTGCCTCCACTTCCTCCAAAGAAATAATTGGAATACTTTCAGCAATTCCAAGACGAATTGGTTTATTACCTTCCTCGCCTGCTGGATTTACCTGCAACAATTAAAATTAAAAACAGAAATATATAACATATTTATTTTTATTGCCAAGAAACATAGAATTCTTGTAGTTTTCAATAGAGCCTAATAAATATTGTACCAAAACGATTCTTGCGATGTCTTGAGAACTCAGTACTTCAGTAACTCCTAGTCCCGAAGACTCACTTTGAACTCCCATTCTACTTCTACCTTTTTTCTTATTAGTCTGAGGTGTATTCATATTGATTTTACATGAATTTGCTGCATAATCAGGAAATATAGTATACAGACATAAATTGCAAATGTTGGTTAGACGCAATCAAGTTATTACCACAACCGAACGCATAAACTAGTTTCAGTCTTAAATAATAGTTTGTGGAATTAAACTTAGCATTTAACTAAATCTGTTCAACGTATGTATCACAATGAATTACTGAACTAGCTTGAGTTATCATAGATATAGAAATACCGGGATAGATCATAACTCAGCGTGAAGCCGTTTAGGCGGCGTTAGGAGGGAGGGGGGGTGCTGAGGTACAGCCTACTTGTTATGGGTTAATATTGCGAGCAAGCGCAGTGATGTAAAAGTGCTACGTATCTGTCTTTTCTTTATACGCACAAGGAGAACCAACCACAGTAAGGCAAGATCCAGCTTGAATTTGAATGGTTATGCAGTGAACTCCTGATTGGTCGATATCAGGTGTCAGGAGAAAATTTGTCATTTATGCGATAATTACTGGGGCCTGTTTCCATCAACGCGGTTCAATGCATAATGTCCTTTTATCTTCGATATACAAGTGCCTGATTGGCTAATAGCATAGTTAAGCCAAATTTATGCTTTAAACCGACTTGAGATTACAGGCCCTAGGGCGTAGAGTTCTGATTGGCCAAATCTTTCATGGAGGAATGACTTCGACCAATCAAGGGTCTAGTCTGCATTTAATTCGTACAATTGGCTGTTCCACATGAGAAGGTACCTTGATGATACTTGCCCTCTTTGTCAAAGACAAACAGGAACGAATCTACAAAGAAAGAAGAGGCTGTTGCACTAGTTGATGCCGGTTGATGCTATCTAGTTCATTTATGCAACGGACCAAATGACAAATAAATATCGACTAAGTGTAATAGGCGTTTTTTTATTTTGTGTTTACACTGTTCAAGTTATGTGTTTACACTGTCCACATCAGTCTATACATAAATGGCGATAAGTAATATCCTCAGTTATCTCTATCTATGAAAAAATATAGGACCGGAAAAGATTCTTTAGTGCTATGGCAAAGATAGACTTCCTCAAGATCTTCCTGACGTTGTTCGAGGTAATCTTAGGCATTTCGGCGACGACGCATTGGGTCGTCACAGAGGATGGTAGGATCCAATCACAGGTGGGAATTCATGCGCTGCAGTGCAATACGAACAATATGAAATATTTTAATGAAATTGTGAAAAACATTTTTATAGCACATTTTCTGTTTTATTTGATATTGCCAACAAGTATTAGAATTAATTCATGAGGCATATAAGTATAAAAGCTGGACAACTTTCGTTTCTTTAATTAGAATTAAATATATTATAGAATTTGTAAGGGAATGAAATTGCTTTCTCTATTGTTGATTATTTTTGTTTATCGTAATACATCAGTGTAAATGGATATTTCAGCTGGATTCTGTGTTCCAACTGCATCAACCGTATGATCTATTCACTTTTTTGGAACAAGAAGGCTATAGGAATGCTATATCGGCTTTGTATCGCCAAATGGTTACTAAGAAAGCAGCAATCGATAGACAGTGGGCCAATTTAGAATCTGCTACTGATGTGGAGTCTAGATTATTTTCCACTGATCCTGATTGTCTTTTAGCTAAGAAGAAATTGGTAGATATTGATCTTTATGCGAGTATAGTTACCAATGGCAGTTTCAGAAGAGGAGTTGCGTGAGTTATATAGAAAAGATCAATAGATTTCTTATCAACAAATATACCTTACTGAGTCAAGATTTATCTCACAGGCAAAAAGATTATTTGCTGGATGGTATTCCAACAGATGGTAAAAAAAAAGTCCCAGACTGTAAGAAGATCTTTCCATTGGATTTCAGTTTGTACACTTTCGAACATTTGAGTGTAAGAATCAGAACTAAATATAATACTGTAAAATACAAACATGTGAATAATGGTCATAAACAATTTTTCTAGGCAATGCGCAATAGAAAAAATCTTACTCAACATCAAGAGAAGGGCTTGATTAAGTATCTGCCACCTGGAACTGATTTAAATATGTTTGGTCATCAGATCGCTCATGGTCTACTCCGAAACAATACATCCTGGTTACATTTGAATTTAGCTGCAATATATTGGCGTGTTCAAGGAGATTCTTACAATGCACTGGAATGTGGACGTAGAGCCATAGTTACTGCACCAATGTACAAACGCATATTGTATATTAAAACTAGCAACTGGTTTAATATCTATTGATTACAGGCGTTATCGTGACATACCCCTCCTGACTACTGGTGGTATTTTACATGCAGCGAAACACTCAGGTGAAGCAGCGATCATTCTGCACGCTGCGATCGATTACGCTCCAACGCAGAGTCATCAACATCTCGCTTTAGGGCACGTTTATGCTGTTCTGGGTGATTTCAATAGATCCATTGCGTGCTACGACAACTGTTTAAGGTTGGCGCCTACGATGGATCAGGCGCGACAGACAAAACATGCAATACTTTGCGAGAAGAAACTTGGAAATTACTTAAGTTCTCTGTACTTGTGAGTAGTAGGAAGTTTCAAAAATGTCTCTTTAGTTTAAATGAATCGTGTAACTGTTCTCCTGCTCCTTAGGCATCTACAGGATTTGCTCACAGATTTGGATGCTTATCTAAGTCAGCAGGAAGAGTGGCTTAATCTAGAGAGACGCATGGTGCGTGTGCAGGCTACCCAGTCTTCATATGTTAAGGCACAAAGTGCAACATTTCAAAACGATGGTCTCAATTCCATTCTGGCAAATCGCGGACAGTCCTGCATGCAACGCGGTGATGGCGACTCCGTGTTATCATGTGACGTCGCCACTGGAAGTCAGACTCTCGCGCACAATCTGCAAATGGATATTACTGTTAGCCTTCGGTTACTGAAGGACGTGGAAAGTCAGGCGCAGAAGATTAATGAGCATATGATCAAGTCTAATAGTTTACATGGTGAATTTTTAATGCAGTATCGGCATTTCGAAACAAACAACTTAACAGTCTAGATTGGTTTTCGTAGCAAACAAGCACCTTGTCAGTCATTCGTCGGCGTACACATTGGAACGTGGTCCAGAATCTTTTACAATGTTCATGGGTCCCACTGGTAGACCAAAGTATTATGACCATGAGATAACTGTCGGAACCGAGGAATATGAGAAGGAAAACTGGCCGGAAATATCGGACTGTAAGCGGCGCTCTTTACTACTCTCCAGTAGTAAGCAATACGTACCTGTTTACTTACCGCCAGAAAATAAGGGCTTTGCGTGAGTAAACGAACCATCAGATATAAAAAAGTCCGACGACTTGCCTATATTGTATTAATTAAATATTAAACATTGTTTTCCGTACATAGAACGCAGTTATTCGTCACTGAATTAATAGGGATTAATTCCGGCCAGGAACATTCCTTGCCATGGTATCCACCTAATTGTCAAACTCCAAAGTCTTTTGATCAGAAATATATTCCGCCAGCATTACTGACGGCCTCCTTTGGCAATCGTTTAGCCGATTCGAGTCTCTCACATATTCTTAATGGGTTGGTGAAGGACGCTGAGATTACTGAGATAGGTCAGCGAATATTAACAGCTACTAAATCGGTAGGACAATAATAAATGAATAAGTAACGATGCCCTTACTTTAGAAGTTTCGAATCAATTGAAAAGCATTAACAAAATGATATAATTTTATAGAAAGTTGCCGCTCCATGGGTTCTCTCGATGCTAGCTTCGTTATACTGGCGAATTGCAGGAAAACCAAAAAACGCTCTGGATTGCCTTCAGTTGGCTTTAGACACGGTACCAAATAAATTTAAAGATGTACCTTTAGTCAGTATTGCCTCAATCAGTCACAAAGCTGGACTGATCGATGATGCTCTAAAGATTGTCGAGGAGGCATGGAATACAAATTCGATCGAGGTTTGTCACGTTTCTTCACCGTCTTAACGTTTTATTCGACAAAAAGCTTATCTTTTATAAAACCTATCATTGTACTTTAGCCACACACCAATTTTCTGATCGGATTGTTGCTGCACCTCAAGGGCAACAATACTGGTGCGATTTACCACTTAAAACAAACTCTTCGAGTCGATCCACATTGGATGGACGGTGAAGGATTGACGATGTTGCGTGGTCTGGCCTGCCAAGAAAAATTGAACAACAATCAACCAGGTGAATAGAACGTACTTGTAAAAATCTACCTTTTATATAATAGTCTGTGAAAATATTGCGCCGGTCCATTACGCCAGTACGACGATCATTCTGACTAAATATTTTTCAACTCTGTTGATCCTACTTGCATCTGTTGAGACTATTTGCTGGCGATGTGGAATCGACGGAGCCTGATAAGTTTAGATTTATTGTTAGCGAATGGCTTCTCTGAATAAAATAGCTTTGGGTTTAAATGTTATTATCTCACGTTAATAAGGACGTATCATTCGTTATTAATCCTTAAGGGTCATCTGGGAGCACAGTGACCTCAACGTAACGTGTGACCCTTATGGAAACTCTGCTTAAGTGTGACAGTTAAGGGTTAATATTTGAGGTCACAGACTATGATAACGGAGACGTCACCTTAGACGATCGTGGTGCGCGGCGGAACTGTTTACTGACGTAACATATATGGACATGATATTCATGAGTCAGAGGAAATTTTCGCATGGTTCCATCAGAGATTTGGCTTCATTTTCTACAATATTTTACCAAAGACCAACTTATTCATTTAGTGTAAGGAGATAAGAGCCTGATGCGTGTAGAGAATTTACTTTCCGATAATTTAAATAGTTAAAAATTTTTTAGTTATATAATATTGAATGCGATATAAATAAAGCTGTGTCTTATCTCATTTTTACACATTTTATGTAAACAGAAGTCGTTTAATCATTTTGCGCATCCATATGCAAATCCTGAAACAACGAACTCAACAGTGATTTGAAAGGTGTATTAAGAGTAAAACTGAAAGACAAGAAACATATCGGCTGATAGTAGAAGTGGCTCAGATAAGTTAAGTTTTGATACGATAAAGAAGTAGAAGCAGACTGTGAAAGTACGAGAATTGACGTGAGCAGAGATATGAGTAATATTGTGAAAATGAAATTTATTTGACAATCTTTTCGCAGAGGAGTAACTGCGAATGACGATGCTAAGGTGTCTGGCAGAAGTCGGCAGTGGATGAAATTCTCCGGAGCAATTTGTGAACGTCCAAACGAGATGAAAAAGAAAAATGTTGAAAATTCTATCTTAGGGGCTAACTTCATACAGATGAAGTTCTCTGCGTTCATAAAGGAATAGGGTCAGAAAGTAACATTTTCCTTGAACACGGGAACATTTTTCATTGCCAATCAATGAAAAATCAATGGAAAACCATTGATTACCTTCGGCTAAAAGCCAATGGCAATGGGAAATGTTGCTACGGGAAATTTCAAGAATTGTTGCTACATAAAGCATATGTTATGAATTTTATATTTCACCCGACGTGGTACTAGATACTTATCGGTATCAGAAATATGGAGTATGATGCGAAGCGCTGAAATTAAGGCCCGCAGTACGTAAGGATACATTGGCTTTCCTAAATGAACGGTTACGTCTTCAGGGCGTACATAGTATATTTATGTCTTTCATAGCTGAAGAGTTAATAAACGTATAAAGTTGAAAAACATTGAGCAGCCATAGACCGATTCTAGTAACACGGAAGAGGGCAAAGAGAAGTCTGCCGATTAGCAGGGAAGATGCTGAAAGCAGAATGAGCGTCCAAAAACCGAAACTGAGCTACGAGTGTGCCTATCGTCTTGCAGAGTAACCGATATCATCACGTATTAGATCCTCTGTTGCGGTAGGTCTTCTGCGCGTCGCCGATCCTTCTTGAGTATTGATTTCCGGTACTGAAAGCGTCACTTCCTCTATTTTTCTCCTTGTCCTACGTATCCTGTTTCCTTAGTTGGGTCCGTGGCTGCACTATGGAAGCCCCATCATAGCCGCTGTCACACGCACAAGAGTCTTATGTCTAATCTTGTGCAGTGGCCAGCAGCTGCACTGGGGACCAATCGAAGATAATAAAACTTCACTTAAATAACGTTATGAACGAATCGAATGGCAGCTGACAGCTTCCCAGCCAAATTATTCCTTACTTCCACAAAGTGCCTCGCAGGAACCCATCCTCCGTCGATATAGAACTCTGCTCTAACGATGTCAATTAGACCGAATTATTAATGAAGATTTTCAAGTCTAGCGGAGTCCAAGCAGTACTAGTTAGGCCGGACGGAAAATACGGGAAAGTTACTAGCTGGACTTATGACGGAAGTGCGTGCGACGAATTAATAATTCTTCCAAGTATTTTCAAAATTACGGGCGGCCAATTCGTCGTTTTACGCTTCTGCACGAACAGGTTTATCAACCGTCCCAGAAATGAAATATTAAGTTTCACAAGTACCTTTTTTTTTAGGGGCAGAAACTAAGAGAGAGAGAGAGAGAATAAAAGTTGTGCAGAATTTATAGAGATCGAAGAGAAAAAGCACCACCCTTTCGCCACTCTTCTGTCACGAATTTTCTCGTGAGCGAGTGTTGCCGCGTTTTTGAGTTTCCATTTGTTACGTAATAGAGCGCTGATGACATGATGACAGTCAGCCTATAGGGATTTAATTGAGTAAACATTTAATGTAGTAAACATTTCTTTACGAGACTACAGGGGTTTTTCTTTGGCTTCCGGTTGAAAATTCAGTAGGCAAATAGGCAAAAAGAATGCCGGAAATACGTTGGTAACTATTGGAATTATATGAAAGAGGCGCATACACGCATAAGCGTAGTCGTAATTGTCTGTATAAAATAAAAGTTACGTGGGGAGCGGACATCTGGATACGGTATAGCAGGCAGGCTATGGCACGATCGAGGTTGACAGGGACAGTTCAGTTCATATAGAAAATTCATCGTCTTCGATCGCAGGAAGTACACGCCGTGCTACCCATTTTGCTCCTACCCAGCGTTGCTCGCTGCTGCTACTCGAGTCGTACTCCTCGAATTTTAAATAAGATTCGAACTAGGCCACTTTTCCCGTGGTTACTTCACGTCTACAATGAATACACGTCAAAGACGATCCATGCACTATGGGTACCGTCGACTATTTGCTACTATAGTGGCCTCATAAAAATATTCTCCCGAGGAATCTCCAAGCGATCAGTCATAATTTCAGATGCCGAGTTTTTGCATCTGACGCGAAATCCCCTGCCGAAGATTCACCGCTGCCCTTCTTGGGGTAATCAAGAAGGAGTGATAGATACTGACGTATCTAAGTACGGCAAAGTTAACGTGAATTCACTGAGCGACTGCCTCTTAGTTCCTCGTGTACCACTTTCGTTCAATTATTTCGAGCGTTATTATCTAATTTAAATTTGTTTATTCTCCATAAACGCGTTATCTCTAGTTTTTATCGTTTTGCTGTCCGATAACGTGCTATGGACCTTGAGAGCACTAACAAGGTTTTGAGTATGGTATTTCTCGATATGACAAGTAAATATACATGTACAGAATGACTGACGACGTTCGATCGCTCGGCACCACACAAAAACCTCACATTTTTTCTTCTCCACCATTTCTGCACAACTGCCGGTAGTTTCTTAGACCGTCCCCGGTTATATACCACTACCCCACGTGGTCATCTAATCCAGTGGCCAACAGCGTAACGGCTTTGGCTCGACAGAGCCAATAGCGTCGCAGTATTAATGCCGCGAGACACGTGTTCCTTAGGAAATAAGGACACTGGTATTACACCGTGAAAATCGTATTTGCATTAGCATGTACTAGCAGAGGAAACTTAATAATTTAGCACGCCGCCATTAACCATGCTCTCTCCACCTTGCGTATGCTCAATAGTACTTAAATTAAATGCACAAGAAGTCCTTTAATATTTCGTAGCAACGGTCAAAGTAAAAGCAAGGACAGTATCGTGATTAGATGCAAGGGTGCTTCAATCTCTTTCGCAGCTCACTTTTATAATTCATTCTAAATCTGTACGTCTACGTTCGCTGTCTGCTCTTAAAATCTATTGATCATCGTTTAGCATTAGTCATTGTTCGAAGTAATCGACGTCCCGAGTATTTCCGAGCCAGCGCGCAGCCTGCTCTCTTTTTATTCTTTTTCTTCGTTGCATAAGTTATCTGGGTTGCATAACTGCACCTTTCCACCCTAGCTCTGCGGCGGTGTTTAATGATATTGTGAAGAAGTGAATCCTTAAAACTTAACGGCACAGACCATATACATCGACAGATACGTACGATATATAGCTACAGCCTGAGGCAATTACCTCGTTCGGTAAATATGGAGATCCCGGATTACACGACCCAATTACACACGGATGTTTATCCGGCATTTATCTCCGATTCTGCTTCGGCCGTCAATAGAGGTTAATCAATGTAATGTATCGTCGATACGTTACTCTTGGAGCCCACTGGGTTGTCGAAAGAGAACATTGGAGAAATTTGCGATTTCAAGTAATCCAGTCTAACGCGGAGGAAGGAAATGCGCAAAGTTTGTAAAAAATGAAATCGGGCTCCCTAGCTTCCTTCCCTCTTCCTCATAGTACAGTAACGGCCAGCCCCGTCGCCTGGCCTCGCGGTAACACTAGCCGAGTAAGCTCTCGGACACTTTGCAGGATTCGGCTTAGCACCGCTGCTTCGGCTTCGCGTCTGTCTGCTCGTAAACGGGCAACGGGCGCATCGTCCACTGTCTCTGCCTCGACCTCTCATTGCACTACTACTGCTACTACTGCTGTCTTAAGAAATTTTTAAACTTAGGGAGCAGCGGAAATTTCACGTGCTCCGAGCAGCCACCGATTGATATTATGCTGATATTCGATGATGCCGCTTCGGATCTTCGTTCTTTGGTTCTGTACGACATACAGGAAATAATTACACTGTACTCTTGAGACCTTGAATTTATTATTAATCGTAAATGTCCTATGGGTCTAAATGGTACTTGCGATTACATGTACATCGAATGCATTCAATCTGATGAGATATTCCGTACAGTATGTCCTATAGCCCTAAGGAGCCAAGCAGTGCCGGAAAGTTCGATCGACTCGTTGATCATATAGGTAACCACCTTAAGTTTATGTCATATTTCACATCGCAAATGCACAATGAAATAAGACAGAAACATAAGACGGCTTGCCTATGTTATGTCTTTTAACTTCTTCATCTCGTCGTAGATTCTTCTTCGTCGTCCTCTCTTCTTTCTTCTACTTCCTCGCGCTTCTCTCAACACACGACCAACTGAAACAACCAATAACGTTAGTAAGCTCGTACTCTACTGTACTTTTAGGTATTAGGTTTCCTACTCGTAATCGAACGAACGCCGATGTACTTCAAAATTATAAGATTTTTCATTTGTAAATTGCAAATTAGTGGCCACGCCACTGTTCCAGAAACGCGTTACGTGATACAGTGCGCGGCCGGCACATCGTACTATCGGATTGGTTTTGCCTGACAACGGAGCTTAAAGGCAGCAGAGAAAAAGAATGAAATGTGGAGGCAAATTTTTGTCTTTCTTTCTTTTTTTTTCGAAACTGACGCGTCGAAACCTGTGAATGATATTCTGACGAAAAGAAAAACCGTTCGTCCGAAGTACGGCGCATGCGCACAAAATAAGGAAATACCGATATGGTTGTTATATAACGTCTCCATAATCTCCTTCAGTCCTGCTCATCGACGAACGTATCTTTCAGCCACGTCTCTTAGCGTTACAAGTAGAACAACCTCGAATGATCAGACAGGAGTTAAGAATCGCAACGAACCAATCAAGCAACCAAGCGCCGATCGGTCGGGCCTTCAGAGATCTGTAGCCGCCATCATGCGGTACGTATAGAGTTGCATAAGAAACCT